GGGGAGTCTACCTTGTTCCTCCAGGCTTCCCGTATCCTTTCGATGCAGGGTGCAGCTGGCCAAGGGGGCAAAAGGAGTACAGGCCGTACGCAGTAGCGCGCGAGCCCACCTGAATGATGCTTCTACGCAACGGTGCAGCAAAGACGATGCCGCGATGGGGAAAACGGATGCAAGAGGCAGAGAGAACTCTTCAAGTCCACGCCGTTGTCCGACTTTCTCCTAGGGTGCGGAGAGCGCCTAACGGGTTTGAGGCAGTATGCCCAGTAGCGCAGATCTACCTGACCCTTTGCCTTGGCACAGAGTCCCGTCGATACAGCACGTAGCACGCAGCAGCAGCAGCAGCAGCAGCAATCAGTATCGACAGAGCGATGAAATGATTGAAGGGGGTTGGTAAATGTGCTGCCCACTGCCGATGACGAAGTCGATTGAAGAACGTGGATTGGTTTGCTGCTAGGGCGGCTACCCGCTTGGACGGTAAGGTACGATACGGTAGATATGGTGAATGTACCTCAAGAACCAGGGATAGAAGAATGAAAAGAGCAGATGGAAATGGCAAGCATGAAGCGAGAGGATCAACAAACGGTCATGCGGCCGAGTATCAGTCGAGTCGTGGGTGGTGTCTTGTATCGAACAAAAGGAGTGTCAGGTGGTCGGTCTGGATGAAGTATCTGTACGGAGTACTGGGCTACGAATGTTGCTCGAGAATGGGTTGGAGGGTGAATGAGTGGTGGTTGAACTTGTGAGCCTCCTTTGGGGGAACGCGTAGGATACCTTAGACAGGACGGGGCACACGACCTCCTTTTCTTCCGGCTGGACGAGCAGCAAGGGACAGATTTCTGTCCTCAGTCCTGCCGCCCCTGAAATGAGGATTATCCGATTCTGGCGCATGGGTTCCGGGAGCCAAGGGAAGGGAATCTGGGAACTCTGCGGACGGGACGGGCTGTCCAATGCGATTGCCAGATGGACAGATTACACAGATTACCTCCTTCTCACTTTTCAGAGGCTGAGGAAGTTACTCGCCCACTAAGTATGGATCTATGGATGGACCTGCTGCGTCGTATGCGTATGAAAAACTATGGGAACTCAGCGAGGCTCAGAGATCAGAGAGATTGAGGGACCACTCAACTCCAGACCCGAACCTTCCCTCACAGATTCCATTTCTAATTCCGCAGTCCAGCCCCACGCCTTGCAGGCACACGCCGCACGACTTCACACAATCCATCCTGGGCCGCGTTATCCCATCCCATACTAGGTATGACACTTCACGCTCGGCATGCTGCTCTTGGCCCTCTCAATTCACAGATGATTTACGTATCGCTTACACTTCTATTCTCAACGTGAGAATTCATTATCTACTTCAAAGGTGACCACGCACGTGAAACCGTTTGCTGACTCGATTCACATGTGGGCCATTCTACTGGTCCCGATGGAAGGGATCATCGGCGTGTCGTCGGGCTTTCGGACCATACGAGACCGCCCCCAAATCTTGCCTTTCGCAACCAATCCCGTATGCCGATAGACGACAGCCGTGCTAGTTGCACTCGTCGAATTGAGGCCCGTCTACCGTCACAGAGTGCAGACTACCTTACAGTGTATCAATCGGAACTTTCCTTTCCTTGAGGCTTTTCAGCCGTTGAAGATCGTCCCGGTCCGGGTCGAACTATCCGCCGGTGCGGTTCGCACACCCTCATGGAACTGTCGTGCCTTTTTTTTTCTCTTTGATCCCGGGCACTATCCCGCTACCGTGTCCCAGCACAGGCGTTTCGCAACGTCCATCCAACGGTTCCGTGAGGGTACACGGCCCCGTTTTTGACGACGATGCCGAAAACCGTCTGAGGGAAAGAGGCTCCACAACGGTGCTTTGCCGTCGTACCTTCCCCTTCGCTGCCCACCAAAACATCGACGTCATTTCTTCAGGACCCATTCGAAGATGCAAGAGGGTTCATCCTGCCACCACCGCCTTTACCCCAGACAATGCAACCACAAACCCTCTGCGCAATGTGCACGGCGTGACAACCTAACCCTCGCCAACCTCGGATCTGGGAAATCTTCTCCTCCCCCCAAAAAAGAATTCAGATTCGGAGTTGCAGTGGGACATGATCCAACCTTTTCGTGACCACCTGACACATTGTTGCATGGACTGATCGACGAGTCAAAAGTCGCACGCACGCGACAGCAGACAACAATGCACGTCTCTTTCCACGACCGCTCGACCGACAACAGTGGCACTGTCTCGAGAAAGACCCTGAAAAGGAATAACTTTCGGGTTTGGGCCCTCCACTTGGTGAACACTGCGATCCACATAAGTCTCGAGAACCAAAGCTGCCTTCATGGCTCACGACACAACGGATGGGCCTCGTTTTCCACTGATCCATCTTCGTGCTTGGAAGTCTACATTGGAAGAGCGGGGGTGATTCCTTTCTTTTACGAGTACCTAAAACCCCCCAGTCCATTCCCCCGCGCCTAGGTTGCTCACGAGTCGCGGCCGGTCAAGACCCCGAGACCCCAAGACCCCAAGACCCTTAAACATCGTGGAGGAGGGGAAGCAACTTGAATCGTTGACTAAGACACTGGAGAAATGACCGTTCGATTCCCGCCGAAAGTGTAGTTTGTAATGTGGACGACGTGGGGAAAGTGACATTTCGGAAGACTTGTGACGGTTGAACATCGCTTATTAGTCAACTTGCTATGCAACAAGCATAGCAACAGAGAGCTCTGGTCTATTGCCAAAGTATTCAAGGTGAAGGCAGAAAATGACTGAGTATCGTTCACCATGTCAATTGAGTTATGCCGCATGCGTTGCTATTCATCGCAGTCTGTGTGTGTACCGTAAAGTAGGCCGTGCCTAGGGTAAACAAACGCCCGTTACTTCCCACATCCTATCAACACCCTACCGTGTACTAGATCAACAAAAAAAAAACCCAAGAAGCATACGGAAATTTCCCAAGGAGATCAAAACAATCTTCTCACCGCAACTTGAAAGCATATTCAACAAGATATCACATGTGGGTCGTGAGGCCGGGGTGAGCAGCAAAGTGGGAGGGGGGACACATCGTGAGTTTGTCCGTGGTGGAGTCAAAACACCAAAACTTCAACGACAAAAACATACAACACCAGGTATTCGCTGGTCGTCACCGACCCAACTACTAATCCGGCCCTCATTGGCTTGTCTATGGGAGAGCGGACGGGATCCCGAATTTTCCAATGGGTATGGTCGTATGTGATGATTTAGGGAGGGCAAGATGATTATAGCCTGGTGGGATGACGAGTGATTGTGTCCGGATGGAATGTTATGGGACTGTGAATTATGAAAGTTGGGCTGTTTACGCGTCGAGATACCTCTGCTGAGAGACCCAATGTCATATAAGGAAGTCCTAGTAGTATGAGATTCGTGTGTAAAACGTCTGGCTGTTGCCTCCCGCGGTTGCCTTGTACCGGAACCGGTATTGACCATCATCAAGGAGTTTAAGAGGACTGATATATAATAGGCCCCTAGCTAGATCACTATTTACAGGCTGTAAGCGCTACTTGGTTTAAAGAGTGCGAACAAGTACGCAGACTTTTCTAGTAAAAACGCTTTCGCAATACAGCAATCCTTACCTTAGGCTCGAACTTCAAGAGCTTGCAGTTACAGCTTCAAGGTTGACAAAGCTGTCGATATCGGATACGTGATGTTCAGTTTCTTGGTGTTTCCTTTCATTACTCTCAAATGATTTGTAGATCAGTGTAAGTAGTGGAGGTCCCGCGGACGACAAAACCAAGATTCGCGGTCTTCAACAAGCACAGTACGCTGTTCAGATGTACGTGCGGCTCTTCGAAGACGCAGGAATTGTGCCTCTCAGTTTCTGTTCAAATAGTCTAAGTGAAAAGAAGAAGGGCTATTGATAAGTCGACAGAGAGAATCCGCTTTTAAACTGGGAAGGAAACCAATTGCCTTGACTTTCCCGTTCAACCCTCTTGATCCTCATACCAACAGCAGGCACAGGAGATCCATACATCCGATACCGTCTCTCCTCAATCTTGCATTTGGTTAATACCTCTTTTTGAGATGATTGGCTCTCTTAATCCATGCGTCTCTTTTTTTTTTGTAAGCAATTTACCATCATGAGTATGGTAAATGCCCTTGATCTTTCTTATCTTGGTCGGAGCTCGTTCCGCGCCACGACACCAGAACCGTTCCGTACAAGTTCCGAGAGAGCGGGGAACCCGATAACACCAAGCCGACAACCACTATACTCCAGGATTGACTATCACAACTCAAAGAATTTGAAATATAGATCTCATCGATTTCAAAGACGATGAACCAGTCGGCTCGGAATAAGAAGGAAAAGTCTCGAAGTGGGTAAAACGCGCGCCTCTCATGCCGACTGTGGTGGTTCCTCTCAACTAACAAATGTCTGTCTTCCAATTACCTTAGGTGGTTGCCTCGTGTGTAAGCGAAGGGTAAGTCGATCTTGACGGTTACTCCTACGGGAAGTGTTGGGACTCAATTCTAATATCGGGTTGTAAACCAAAAGCGAGTCAAGTGTGACGAGCAAGAGCCGAGCTGTCAAAGATGTATCAAGATTGGCACCGAATGCCCCGGTTATAAGCGACCTGTGAGATGGTCTACCAAGTATGAGAAGGCTACGGTCTGGGATCGCAATGCGACTGAGCCTTGCTGCCGAAAGACTGCCAGAACGGTTTCAAGTGTCCAGAGACTCTCGGTGGACACAGAACATCCGACCTTGCTGGCATCTGAAAATCTTCAAGATGTGCCTCCTCCCGCTGAGAGCGGAGAATTCGACACAGTCGTGGTACCAGAGGCTTTGACGAGCATTGGCACAATCACACCATCACCGTTTCAGGACTACTCAGGAGAGATATCAGCACTCTTGCACTATTACTTCGCCACAGTCTGCCACGTTTTATCCTCTTTCGATTCGCTGCACAATCCGTTCCGCTCAGAGGTGCCTAGGTTATTCAGCCAGTCTCCGCTACTGCTCTACTGCGTCTTGAGCATGTCCGCCGCACACCTCTATCAAAACGAAGAGTCAAAGGCTGTTGTTCCGTTGAAACTCCAGACAAAGGCCATTTCGTATCTCGCCGGACAGCTACCCACGCCACCTCATATTGATGGGCTTGGAGTGTCCATCTACCGCAAGCCAGCAGCAGGAAGACTAGTCAGAGCTAGTGTTCAAGATGATGTCGTTCTGGGAACTATTCTACTAGGAATGACATCGGTATGTTTTTTTCGCACTCTCCCGGCTTCACTCCATTTCGACCGCGGTCTATGATTGATGAGTTTACAAACAGGCCTGGCACGACGTATCTTCCACTGGATTAATGCATCTCCACGGATCAAGGGAGCTCTTTAAAGCCTGGATGTCATCTAGCCATCTAGACACCGGCCTCCAACAGATGAGGAGAACGACGACCGCTACCCAAGACTTTGTGGTCTCGTCCATGGTGTACTGGGAAGCCATGAGCTCCTTCATCGTAGACCAGGACCCGGACGCTCTATCCTACCTGGACGTCTTCTGCCACCTCCCGCCTTCTCTCAAGAGGTACCCGTGTCCCTGGACAGGCGTGGGGACGATCACCTTCATATACCTGGCAAAAACAGCGACGTTGGTCAGGAAGTTTAGAGTTCTGGGTAGTTTGGGCTTGTGCCTACGGGGTGGTGGTGTCCAGGATACGTCGTACTCGGATCTTTTGCAACAGGCCACGATCTTACAAGAGGAGATTTCAAGGCTCGAAGATTCAGCTGTGGGCTCAGTTGCAGACAGTGGCGATATATTCACACCTCCAGATCATCTCATCGCCATGGAGCAATGTTACCGGCAGGCGGCTCTGATTGAGTTGTACAGGGCATTCCCCGAGCTGGTAGAAATCTCAACCGCCAAGGATCACGCGAGGCTCGATGCCAATGAACAGGATAATGGGAAAGCGGGAGAAGTTCATCATCTTGCTTTGAGGATCCTTCAGACCATGGAAGAGATACCCGTCACATCTGGCACCGTCTCGACGCAGCTTTTACCGCTCATCATCGCCGGGAGCGTTCTCGGTCTGGTTTCGAGAGAGGATATTGCCGATGAAGGTACTGAGTTTCTAGGCAGTGCGAAAGAGGTCACGAGGTGGAGAGACTTTGTGAGAATGCGCACTCGTTGGCTTTACCAGTTGATTCGACTCAAGCCTGTAAGGCATGGGTTGCTCATCTTGGAGGAAGTTTGGGCGCGCATGGATAACCTATACGCTGCAGATTGCTCTGATAACCTCAATCCAAAGGGTAAAAATTGCCATTGGATCGATGTAATGGAAGAAAGGGGGCTAGAAACAATGCTGGGGTAAAGCTACGACAAGCATGACATAGATACCTCAGCTCAGACTTACACGTGAGAACACGCAGACTTTACCAGATTTTGGTATCAGTAGAAGCGTGATAAGTAGAAAAGAATGTAAATTCAATGATCAAAAAAAGAGCCAGCGTTATGAGCGAATTCGAAGGTCTCAGCAGATGAATGCCATCCGTTTGGGCGCTTCAGGATGTAGTAGCGCACCTCGCACTTTTTGTCCTAATTGGGAAATATGTGTCCCCACCAACCACGATGCAGTCGACACCGGCGATAGCAGAGACAGGAGTGATGAACATGGACATAAATAGACTCTGCTTTTCCAGTCGAATTGGGGCTTCGGAATATCTTATTTCTATCAGTCTGCTCCAGTAATTCCTTATTGGACATTGTCTGCTTCAAGCCCTATACCATGCCTTCAACACGAGACGGCTACCTCTGGACTCCGTCCGGGGAAACAATCGGTCTATCCACAAAGGCAGTGGTAGACTCTACCCCAGAATCTTCCATCACCAAAACATACGACGTCGTCGTGATTGGAAGCGGCTTCGCCGGCCTCATTGCCGCGCGCAACCTCAGCCGTGACTCTGGCGCTCGAGTTCTTCTCTTGGAAGGCCGAGATCGCATAGGAGGGAGGACATGGACGGCAAATGCGCTAGGAGAGGACTTTGAGATGGGCGGGACATGGGTACACTGGAAAGTCTTCTCAAGTTGTCACCGAGCATATGGTGCATGCCAACTAACCGGAGCACAAACAGGCACCAACCCCACGTCTTTACAGAAATCCATCGATACGGCCTACAATCCAACCTAAAGACGTCTTCAGGCACAGCTGCCGTGGAAAACACATTCTACACACCACAAGATTCGAAGCCTGGGCTGGTCGATACCCTTGCCACCAACAAAGCCGTCCAAAACGTCGCGGATGCCTTCTTCTCGATCGACGGTCTGTCCAGCCGCGAGTTGATGCCGTATGCCCATGACCCATTCCGCCTCCCTGCAGCTTGGATGAAGTACGATCACCTGTCCGCCAAAGACCGTCTGAATCAGCTCGACGTTAGCCAACACAACAAGGATCTTTTCGACGCCATGATCAGCTCTTTTGGCGCGGTCCCCGGCAGCGAGTGCGGTTTCACCGAAGTACTGCGTTGGTATGCCCTGGGAGGTCACTCTATGGCTGGGACCTTCGAGCTTGCCGGCATGTATAAGCTTGGTGGAGGCGGGATGACCTCGCTAGCACGGGCGATTCTAGCAGACTACCGCGGGCATGTGATCTTCAATGCCGTGGTTGACAAGGTAGAGCAGCGGGGATCGACTGTCGTGGTGTCCACGAAGAATGGACGTCGGTTCGAGGCCAAGTATTGTATCTCGACTATTCCCCTGTAAGTGCTTCTCTCTTCAACTGAAATACCTGAGATGCTAAGAATATGCCCAAGGAACTGTCTGTCAGACGTAACCTTCTCCCCGCCGCTCTCACCACTTAGAATGGAAGCCATTCGGGCAGGCCACATCAATAAGGGAAGCAAGGTTCATTTCCGACTTGCAAGGCCTGAACCGGGATGGTTCTCCATGGCGAATGGATACGGATCTTCACCGTGGTGCTTTGCATTCTCAGATCACAATGGTACCACTGATAAAGCAGACACCGGCAACTTTTGCATCGGGTTTGGCTACGGTTCGCATCATATCGATCCGAAGGCGTCTACCGAGATGATTACGACTTTCCAAGACAACATCAAACCCGCGGCCGGGATAACAGCCTACCTCACCCATGACTGGGCCAGCGATAGCCTCGCCAAAGGTACTTGGAGTTGCTGGGGGGCTAACTCAATGACCAAGTGGCTCAAGGAGCTCCAAAGACCAGAAGGCCGAGTTCATTTCGCGAGCGCCGATTGGGCTGATGGATGGCGAGGGTTCATTGACGGGGCAATCGAGAGAGGTGCTACCGTGGGACGGGAGATTGAGGTGTTGCTTGCGGAAGACAATGTCATCGCTAAGCTGTAGTGGCTGGATGTATCCCAATTTTGTTATATTTGTGTACATATCCTTGTTGAGTGTGTCATGGTGATCGCCTAGCAATGGAGCATCCACAGACATCTTTGAATAGCAATGTGCGTGCTGTTTCAGGTTTCAAAGCCACACCCTCAAGAACCAAAAGCCTTGATGTTTCCCGCTAGAGACACTGACTTTGGTATGTATCTTTATTAATAACAGAGGCGATTTTTCTCATCAAGATGAACCCTACTTTGTTGTACATTAATCGGGCCGCAAGCCAACCTTCTTTTGGGGCAGCTGCTAGGCCTCGCTTTCTCATCTTTGTCTATACCCTTTCGTCGAGTCTTCGTCATGTCCAACGATCTATCGGCCTCAGCTCCGAGACTCCACGTTCTATCCATCCAACGCCGTTGCTTGTTTTTTGTTTTCTTGTGAACGTCTAGGCTCCTTTTTTTGTCTTCTTCGTTTATTTCTTAAGCATGCCGTCAAAGGCGGGAATGAGAGTCTGTGCAAGCCAGAATGAGAAGACCAGCTTGGGTCCAGTCATGAGGAGCTACAGGGGAGATGGAAAGTCAGCAAATGGCCGATATGGACAGAGGAAGGGGAGAGGGAAAACTGCTGGATAGTCTTACCTTGGGAACCAGACCCTTGAAGAAAGCGGTGGCACCTTCGTTCTTCATCATGTTGGAGATAATTCTGAAACCGCTCTCGGGGTTCTCAAAGTTACGGTTCTGGATACGGGTCTTGATGACGTCGAGGGGAGCGGAGACGAGGAGGGAGGCGGAGGCACCGGCAATGGAGGCGATGAAGTTCTGGAACCAGGACGCCTTGTTGTAGTCGTCGAGCTTGAAGAGGTACTCCTTTGTGAAGGCGGAACCACCGAAGAGCTGTTGATAGAAACATAGGTTAGTTACTGCCACAGACCCAAAAAATGAGACCGAAAAGCGCTTACAGCGAAAGAACCAGGAGCGTTACGGGCGGCGGTCCAGCCCCAACCTCTGTACAGGCCGAAGCCCTCGTCGGCAACGATTCTGAAGACACCACGGCCGCGGAAGGCCTCGGGGTTTGTCTGTCTCTTGATCTTGAGGACGTCGAGGGGAAGGAGAACGATCTCTCCGATACCGATCAAACTGTGATAAAGTCGCGCGTCAGAATGCGTGTTTGGCCCTCACAGATTTCTTCGGTCTCCGAGCTTGCGCAAGGGGACCAAGAAAAAAAAAGACTCACCTGCCAGCGGTGGAGTGCATGATAGCCTTGCCAGTCTTCTTGCCGAAAGCGCGCTCAAAGTCCTCGCCATAGTTCTTGGCCAAGAAGTCCCTGGCGATGGGCTGACCGCCATACTTGTATATTCTCTGGAGGACTTTGTAGCCGGCGGCGTATCCCAGACCGGGGAAGAGCGAAACGAACTTGCGGCCCGCTGTCGCGTTGGCCGTGTCCTTGAAGATGACCTTGTTGAGCTGCTCGACGCCGGAGATCTTGATTGCGGAAACGTGTCAGCTTTCTCGGGGGGTCATGTCGTTGAAGCCTTGCTTGCGGTAGGCAGGAAAGGGAGGGGAAGCTCGGTCCGGCGTACCTTGGTCTGGTTGCTCATCAAGCGCTTCGCGATAGTGTCCACCTGAGCTTCTGATTAGCTTCTCATTCCGCGGGCCCTTTTATATAATCGTAGCTCGTCGCAGCACTCACGGGGTGGAAGACGGCCAATTCAGCAATACCAGCGGAGCCTGCAAAACGTCAGCGCGCCGAAGCTTAATGCGCGGGCGCAAGAAGAGGGAGCGTACCGGAGCCCAGGAGTCGCGCGGTGTTCGACTCCTTCTCCCGTCCAGTACCAGCAGTCGGAGACATCTTGATAGGAATCTGCGATAAAGTGCGAAGGGGAAACTAAGAAGTCCCAATTGAACAAGAGTAAAAAAGGCGGGTTCCAGAGGTTCGGACTATCGTCAGGTCGTGGGGGCACGGATATCAGGAGCAGCTCAAAAGAGAAGGGTGATTCAAAGTTTGGAGTCGACAGCTGGGAAATTTTTACTCAACCACTTTGGACCGAACTCGCAGCTTAACTTTTGCTGACCCTGCAGGGGCAGGCCCCCCCTGGACCGCCGAGCACCGGGAAGTGGAGCCTAGCTCGGCAGGGATTGGTTCGCCGCGCCGAAGCAGCTTCCATCTACCGACCGGTACGCTAGCTCCGACCGTTCTCGACCGATCGGGCTGGATTGTGGCTCGGTTTATAGATAGAGATTCACTTGACCACGATCAATCGACCGTATACCTATTCTCACTCGGAGTCACATCGTGCTGTCGGGGTGACTAAGCTCCAGCTTGGGCGAACTCGAGAATCGCACCCCCATTTTAGCGAGTTCGGGAAAGTTGTGTACGATGTTGAGACGCCGTTCCTGGAAAAAACTGCGCTTCCTTTTGATTTTGGGTATCTATCATCCTTTTGCCCTCCCCATTTTTGAGCCATCCTCCCAACAGCCCATTGCATATGCCGATGACGATGGCACCTGAGGCGCTGTGTACGGTTCTATGCCTCAATCTAGTAGTCTCTGAAGACTCCCACTAGTTCGTCCAGTCTCATGACATGAGCAAGAAGTTTGCTCTGCAACTCCAGGTACTTGCTGTACTTGTTGTAGTGTTCTGCAGTCATGACCTCTTCCTCCTTGCCCTTCACGTCCCTTCTCTCGACGAATGACAGAATGTTGCGTTCTCGGTAGCGATGCACTTCCAGGTTTTGAAGGCATCGAAGCATTGCTTTGTAGTAGTCGTCGACCAGTTGCGCCTCGGTTCTTTCAATGTCAAAGAACCAAAAGAACATTGTTCGCGTCGCTGTTCGGCTGGCATCTCTGGGAACCTCCTGAACATCAACGAAGCCGGCCATCTGCATGGCAAGCATTTTGCCCTGAACCTCGCCCTTCTTCATGAGAGCGAGAGATGGGAGCATCTTCTCATCCAACTTTCCCTTCTCCCGCATGATGCGAGTCAAACGCAGTCCATGCCGACCGAATGACTGTTCGATGACGGCATCCACCTCTGTCTGTTTAAATCCCTCGATCAATGGCTTGAAATCGACGGTCCACTGCCCTCGACCTTGACTGCCACAGTGCCGCAGAAAGCCTTGTCGGCTTTCAGATAGTAGTAGCAAATGCTGCCGCATTTGATCAATACGGCTAGCGCCGAACACGGGCCCATCTTCGAATCTGACCTCGCGGGATCCAGAAGCTGCCCGTGACCCTTCGTCTTCGGAATCGCCCGAATCTGCTGCGCCATTCATATTGGGACGAGCAGAAGCCCTCGGAGCCATCGGAGGTTCATAATCAGAGTCGTCGGAATCGTACATAGGCTGGCCTGGCGTAGCTCTGACCTTCTCAGCACTGCGAACGTCAATCTGGTCTGCAGAAGCCTTTCCAACTCCATGAGAGACATCAATAGAGTCATCGAGGTTTTCGAGTATTTCTAGACTAGTCACAGTAACTTGGCGTGAGTTCGAGCCTGGACCGTCTGCGTCGTTATCAGAGTCGATTCTCGGATCCAACTGACAGCGGGACACCTGTTGCGTCAATAGCCGTAGAGCGGTATGGTATATATGGCCGGTGACTTCTCCAAAAGCATCGGCTGCGTACTGGGCCAGCTTCTGGTTTCGCAGCTCAACGAGACACTTCTCGGTGTTGACCCTGAGAACAATGTGCGACTAAACTTTGTAATTAGCCAGGGAAGAGGAAGACAATATTTCATGCAGATGAAGACTCACGTCGATCTCAGGTACATCCTCGTCCCAGTCTGCAGTCTCTCTTGCTCCTTTGCCATTGGCAAGCTTTCTCCGCTTGGTCGAAAACATGTTACCACGTCCGACTTGTCGCTTCAGCTTTTTGCTCTCGTCGCGTGCCTCTCGGAGTCTCTTCGAAACTTCTGTTTGCATGAGTTCTTTGTTCCGTGCTGTCGCTCGCTCGCCAGGGGCCGTTTTGGTGACCTCTTCTTCGATTTCGCGGTAAACGTCTTCGGGGTTTCGAAACGTCTTGGGCCCGACCTGATCAACAATTTCCGCCACAATCAGGCGATTCAAGACAGCGTGAAGCTCCTGAGCCGCATGCGACGGCCTATGCCCATTGACCTTTGCTTTAGAGCCGTTGCCATTGACATGACCGTTCGTCGCATGGTCGCCATTGAGACCTGTCCCGTTCCTCCCCTCGAAAGCCTGCAAGAGATCCGATACCCTAGCGTGGCCGAGCTGCATAATAGTCTGTACAATCTCCTGTTCCGCAGGGCCGAATTCGATGCCAACCATCTCGATGATTTTCCCAGCGCGGATTATGTTGTAACATCCATCGGGATTCGCTTCATATGTGCCGATCTTGTTATTGGAGTCGGACTCGTGGTAAATGAGGCTCTGCTGAACGAGGAGGGCTAGGCCATGGCGCAGCTGCCGCGGAGTAAGACCAGTGGTTTGGATAAGTTGAGCAATGGTAGACCTGCCCTTGCTGAACAGTACAGCCAGGATTCGCTGGAAGAAAAGCATTCGTTAGTATGACCTGTTGAGGATACATGATGTGTAAAAGGTGCGATTATGTTGCGCCGTGTGGGACATAGAGATGGTGCTTGAAACTTACTGCAGGTAACTCGCCGCATATGTCGTTGACGAGGTGAGCGCATAGCTCAGCGCCATGCTTGGTCTGGGGGAGGAGTTAGAGAGATTATGACTTCAGCTTGATCAGCGCGATGCGAAACCTACCACCAACATGGCGAAACTTGGATTCAGGAATCAATTGACTCTAGAGATCCTCTCAATATCCCTAGAGCTGCCACACAAGCTACCGAGAAGTCATTGAGATAATACAGTGCCGTGTGCTGGGTATTGAACAAAGCACTTGGCCACGGATGATTTTGTCGCAGTGAAGGTCGCGGTCTTCAAGTGGTGGAGGGACTGAAATAAAAGTATGGGAACTTTTTTTCTGAGCGGCGGGCCACCTAAGGCGGGGTGGGGGACAAGGTCGATGGAAAGCGCCGAGTCACCGACAGAGTCATGGAGGCTGAAGCTCCAGGTGGATGGATGGCGTGGCTAGAACGTCTGAGATGCAGTACCAAAAACTTAGGTAAGAATGGATCAGCGACGCTCGAATGGAGCCTGAAATTCAGACGGGTCAATTGAGGCCTTCTTGGGATGGCGGGTGCTTACTGGGGCATGTGGCTTGTGGCTTGACACCAGCCTCAATACCTAAGGTAATGTCGGAAACTTGGGATTCACGGATTCTGCGACTCATCACTTTGATTACCTAAGGCAAACTACGGGCGATGGAGGAAGCAGAGTGGAGCGTTCGGCCCCTGTGCCAGGTAATCAGACGGGCTTTCATTGGAGGTTCGGGGATAAGGCAGTTTTCCATCACGTGACGGTGCGAGTGACCCGTAGCTAACCTCGTTCGATGGATCGAAAATTGGTCGGGATGTGAACGAGGCACTTTCTTGTTGAAGCTCCGACGAATTGAGCGTCACGAAACTGGATCTGCCAATTGTCGGCAACCGCATCATCGCAATGATTTCTAGACCGTCCCTCACGAGGGCTGCGCAGCAGACCCTCCGCAACTCGAGCTGTGCTCCCACAATCTCGGGTCGTCGGTTCGCCAGCGCTGCTGCTGGCTCCGGCGCCTTTGAGACCGCCGACGTTGGTGGTGTCAAGGTTGCTGCCAGAGACTCCCAGGGCCCTACGACCAAGTTGGCCATCGTGGCAAAGGCCGGTACCAGATACCAGCCTCTTCCCGGCCTGGCCGCTGGCCTCGAGTCTTTCGCCTTCAAGGTACGATGCGACCCGTTTCCAGCCCTTGGAATCTTTTCCACATATCCGAAGATATTGCGCTGACACGATTTTCAACGAGTAGAACACGACAAAACGCTCTGGTCTGCGCATCGTTCGCGAGTCTGAACTCCTCGGCAGCCAATTGACCGCATACCACACCCGCGAAGCCCTCGTCCTCGAGGCCAGCTTTTTCCGCGATGACCTTCCCTACTTCACGGAACTCCTCGCCGAGGTCGTCTCCCAGACCAAGTACACCAGTGAGACTCGCAAATACATCTGAGCGTGTGGCATGGTTGGTTAACTGTTTATCTAGCCCACGAGTTCCACGAGGAGGTTCAGCCTGTTCTCCGATTGAAGCAGTCTGGCACCAGCGCTGCCGCTCTTGCCCTTGACTCCGCCCACTCCGTTGCTTTCCACTCCGGCCTCGGCTCTCCCTCCAACCTGACGCCCTCGATCCCTATTCAGCCCTACCTCAGCGAGTACGCCGTTTCCGACTTCGCCCAGGCCGCCTTCGCCAAGTCTAATATCGCTCTTGTCGCCGATGGTGCCTCCGCCGCGAACGTCAGCAAATGGGCCGAGCAGTTCTTCAAGTCGGTTCCCTCTGCCTCCTCCGGCAAGCTGGCCCTGAACACCGCCGCCACCAAGTACTTCGGTGGTGAGCAGCGTACCTACAGCCCCTCTGGAAACGCCTATGTCATCGCCTTCCCCGGTGCCACCACTGGCCAGGCTTCTCCCGAGCTTGCCGTTCTTGCGGCTCTGCTGGGCGGCAAGTCCAACATTAAGTGGTCCACTGGCTTCAGCTTGATCAACAAGGCTGTTGGCGTTGTTCCCGGCTTGTCCACCTCAACCGTCAACCTGTCATACTCTGACGCTGGCCTCCTGACTATCCAGCTCGCTGGCTCAGCCTCTGCTGTCCGTGGTGCCGCCCAGGAGACTGCCAAGGCCCTGAAGAGCATCGCCGAGGGTACCGTTAGCAAGGAGGACCTGACCAAGGCTATTGCCAAGGCCAAGTTCGATGCCCTTGAGGCTTCGGAGAAGCGCAGCGGTAGCATCCTCCTCGCTGGATCCAGCCTCGTCCACAGCGGCAAGGCCGTTGACGCCACCGAGGCCATCAAGTCTATCGAGTCTGTTACGGCTGAGAAGCTCAAGGCGGTGAGTGAACTGAGATTTCTGATACATTCCCAAGAACCCATTGCTGACGATCATATCACAGGCGACGAAGACGATCCTGGAGGGTAAGGCCAGTGTTGCGGCAGTTGGTGACCTTTTCGCTCTGCCGTACGCTGAGGAGCTTGGCCTCCGGGTATAAATGGGGATTTAGCCCTGTCTTGTAGCGGCCGAATGAACCGTGTATCAACAGTCAAGCATTTGCGGTAGAATGGGGAAATGTATCCTTTGTGAACATATGTAGTAGAATTTTCTTGTGTCTGCCTAGCTTGCCTAATTCCCACGTATGAAATTGTTTTGTTCACTTATTGACCCGTGTTATGCTCAAGATCATACGCTACTGCTGTCTACTCTCATCGCCGGCCTGTAGAGAAATACGTCTCTCAACGTTTCTCAGATGAAGGGTGGACTCAGAAGAACATAGAAGGGGCTGAAAACATTCTCCAAAAGCTCGATGTCTATTCCACAGGACAAATGACGAAAAGCTGTCTCTGCAGACGCATAACTCTTTTGGTAGAAACGGTATTACTTCTTCTTCTTCTCATGTGGTCGAACAAATATTTTTTCCGCAGCTAGCCTTCAGAGATTGATATGATGTACATAAGAAGGAGGCTCTATATGTACCCTACAGCGAATGCATATTGCCACATAGTACTACGTAGGATGGTACAGAATGTTTCTCCGTCCAAGAAGGTTACAACAACCACCGGTCCACCAGGGGTCTTGAGGCACCCGAGCACCAACGAGGGCCACACGGACACAGCTCATTGGTCTTCGGGCCTGACCAAAAGCTTATTGGCTGAGGGTGCAGTTGCCGAAAGACTTTCAGGTCCACCTACACACTGGGCAACTTGAAGTACGTCTTGCGTAAAGAAGATAGGTCTGTGGCTGGTGTACCATCTTAGCTTGAAGGAGGACGATACTCCCTGGAAGTACTTAACGATCACAATGACAACTTTGGCCAAGTATTTAGCCAATGGCAGGAAAGAATGAGGTAACAAGACGCAATAATAAACTACACCAAATGTTGACTGAGAGTTGCTCGAAACAATGCATGGACATGGAGGTGAGGGGACAACACAGAGCACGGCCCCTCAGTGAGGTAAGGTAAGGTATTATTGGGCGACAAGGTACCTGTTTTGAGTACCTCATGTTAAGGCAGAGTAGCCAGACAACCATACGGTCCATCCATACCCTACGCAGTACATACATGCTTGGAGAGCAGCTCAGGTGAGAAGTTGGGGGCTGCAGCAATGGAACAAGAATGAGGTAATTGTGCGAGTGCGAACCCCCAAAGTTGAAAGAGCCACCTCAGACTGTAGCTCAGGAGTGTGTACACAGTATCTGCAGTACAGGACGACATGAGGCAGCCTAAGGAGATGTCTCGTGCCTTTAATAAACCGCGCTGATGGTGGTGGATTGGTTCGAGGGGCTTAAAACGATCCAGGGGCCACTCATCTCTAGCCATCCCCCGGGAGCACTATCCGTACCCGCACCCACACCCACACCACGCCTTTTCCCTCGCTAGCCCCCGTCCAAAGTGCAAGGCGCAGGGTACGAAGTACACCACACCAGAGGGCAGGGCCCACGGGCGAAGGAAGGTACCCCAAGTTAAGCATCCCCCAATCCCACACAGAGCCCAGCACCCGGACAGGTCCAGTACGCAGTAGGGGACTGCTGGTGCCAGTTGCTGCTGAACACTGGTGGAGGGAAAACAAAGCCTCACCTCACCTCAACCTCCACACCCAATCCCAACTCCCTCCACGTCCTCGCCCTTTTTTATGCCCACGATCGACGCCGGTCTCTTGTGCCTGCTTCTTCCCCCCCCTTCAACCCTCCGCTCGGAGTTGCCCAATTGCGACGCAAACTGAGCAGTGCCTTCTCGACAAGGACTATATCTGGGGGAGACTTTCGTTTCTCTCCCCTTTTTGCTGGGCCTATTCAGCCCTCTTCGCAGAACCTCTCGACCAGGTGAGACACATAGCCATCATCCTCCTTCCCAATCTTCGCATCGTCCTTCAGCCCTACACTTTGGACATAGCAACACCACCTTCTCTCTTTCTTCCTTTGCGCTGCCTTTCTCCACTGCATCGCACCTCCCCTTGTTCTCTCTTCGCTGCTTTGAACGTCGTCGCCAACCATACGTCAAGCTGCGACCTGAAGCTATCTGTCCTTCACACTGCTGTTCTCCCCCCGCCGTTGAACCCTTGAAAGCTAACCGTGGCCAACATTGTCGTTACTGCAGGTGAATCTGCTCAGAACTGTCGGGCCCACCGCGGCCTCACTGTCTGAACATCTCGACGATCAAGGGTCAACGACGACTGCTCGATTCTCGAACCCGACGAACCGATATATCCTCCGATTCCCGTCGCAAGGTGTGTAGTACCACTGATTCACAGACTCTTTACCTCGCACTCAGCGGAGTCATTTCCGATTATCAGCGTACTGTCCGAATCCGATTTGTTACTTCATTTTCGATTGCGTCTTGGAATTCCGACCCACACCACTCTATATTGATGCACAAAAAGTATAACCAAAGTGTTGGCTGACTTCTTCCTCGTAGGGAACTGGAGGTCATTGGTAGCCAAGGTGGCACTGCTGTCGAAAGAACCCTACCTGTACTACCTCGACAGTCCACGGCTGCAAGATGGTCGCCCCTAAGAAACCTCAGAGCGAAATCAACAACGGAAACAAGTCCAACAACATGTCCTACAACAAGAGGGATTCGGCCATGGGTGGTAAGGCTGACGGCAAGGGCCAAAATGGCATGCCTATTTCTTCACCCTGACCACTGCAAAAACATAATGCTAATCGTAATGCAGGCGCTCGATCTGGGTTCAGAACCGATACCGCTATTTCCAACAACAGACCCGGTACTGAGCGAACCCTCCAGCCATGGGTCCCCGACTCAAACGATGGCATCGATGGCAGTTTGGAGAAGCCATCTGGCAGTGGAGGAGCTTGGGACCAATTCGCTGAGAATGAGCGACTCTTCGGCCTCAAGACCGACTACGACGAGAACATCTACACAACCACCATCGACAAAAGTCACCCGCAGTACCGTGATCGCATGGCTGCCGCCGAGCGCAAGGCTCGCGAGATCGAGCGAAGCCTGGCCACCACGGCGCACGTTGCGGAGGAGCGTGTCATGGATTATGTCACTGGCGGTGGTGACGACAAGGGCGGGGACGAAGAAGACAAGTAAGGCTCTCTCTCTCCTTGATGTCTTCGTCTTGAAGCAGCCCAAGCTAACACCCATTTCCAGATACAGCGGAGTCCGCCGTCAGGACTTTCCTCCTTTGTCGAGCCGCGAAAACAAGTACACGCCTCCTGCCAAGCGAGCACCCGCTTCGAATGCGACCGTCGTTGGCGCCCCGATTGACCCCGCGATCATCTCGTCGCAACTGAGAGCCCCCGCAAAGAAGCAGACCACAGTGAAGCCCGAAGATGCCAAGCTTTTGAGCCAGCTCGTCAACAAGGGCAGTGCTACCCAAGCTGCTGAGGCGCCCAAAGCCGCTGATCCCAAGCCTGCTGCCCCCGCCACGAAGACTGCCCCGAAGCAGGAGCCGACCAAGCCGGCCGAGACAAAGCCAGCAGAGACGAAGCAGACCGTCGCCGCAAAGCCCGGCGACGCCAAGACTGCTGAGAAGTCGGCTACCCAAGCCCGTCCCTCGGCAGCTACGAGCCGAACGATCTCCCCGCAGGTCAAAGAAGGCGCCCCGGGAGCTCCGAGTGCCACTGCGACGGTCGAAGCCGACGTTTTGAAGTCGTTCAGAACGTTTGCCAGCCAGCAGCGGCAGAACGCTGAGAAAGTTCGGAGCAGCAAGGCCAAGGCCGACAAGGAAGTCAAGTTGACAGAACTGAAGAAATTCGCCGACACCTTCAAGCTGTCTACTCCAGTTCCTACTGACCTGATTTCCATCATCGCCAAGGACCCCGATAAACAGAAGGAAATTCAGGCGAAGGCTCTCCAGAACGCGGAAGATGTTGCTCGTACCAAGACGACACCCACTCTCAAGGGCAAGGACGCTTCATCGAAGGAGGGTGCAGGAAAGCCGCCTGTTGATGCCCCAGCTGCTCAAGCCTCCGTTGAGACAAGGAATGCTACTCGTCCGGCGCCAGCAAATACTATTTCTCCCTCCAATGTTCCGAACCGTCACCCGAATGCTCGCCAGTCTTACGCCAGCCCTCAGTATCACGCCCAAACGTACAGGAACGATAGATCTGGCCAACACATGGCACAACAGAACCGCCAGCCCTTGGCACAGCGCCTGCGCCACGTGGAGCAGCAGAAGATGTCGGCGCCTCCCAACCAGCACCCTGGTGGCCCTGACATGCGGATGCCGCCAACCGGCCCTGCGAACAACACTGAGGCCTTCCGGCGTGCAGGCGGTGTCCCGAGTCACCTTGGCGGGAAGTTGAACCCTAACAGCCACGAGTTCAGACCGAACCCCTTCGCGACTTCCTTCAACCCGAATGGACACCCCAGCGCAGGTTCCAGTCCTCGCTCTGCTGCTGCCAACAACGCCCCAGAGACAGCATCGACCCCGGCAACAGCTGGACAGTTGATTCGTCGGAAGACGAAGGCAGTCGATGTGAAGAAGTGTTACATACTGGCACACGTCAAGACGTTCACGCCGCCCCAGGGTCGGAACTGGGACGACAACGACGGTCTGAGACCCTCATACGACACCCCGCCTACTTGGAGACAACCTTCAGACAACGAGAAGCCGGATTCTACGATGCTCATGACTTCCAAGGAGTTCTTGGAGCGTCAGTCATTCGCTGTGTCGTCAATTGCCACACCGAACCACACTCACGTTGTTCCTAGCGTGGCTCACCAGCATCAGCTTCCCTTTCATCTGCAGCAACCTGCGCACGGTATGGGCCCGCGTCAGTCACCACACATGCCACCCATGCCTATACAAAACCAACATGGACATGTTCCCCATACACCGTACCAGAATATGGATGACCACCGGATGATTCACTCCAACTCGGCCCAGTCCTTCGCTTCGCCGCGTATGGCACAGGTCCCTATTACTTACAACACGCCAGCCATGACCTCGGCGGGTCAGGTGCCCTACAACCAGCCGATGATGCAGCCCTACGGTGGGCCGGCTACACCTCAGATGGGTGGCTACCGAAACTTCTCCCAAAACCATCAATACGTGCCGCAGCAGCCCGGTGGCCCTATGGGGGCACCTATGATGCCTCAATTCATCAACCCCCAAGGCATGGTGCCGGCACCCGGTCAAATGCCAATGTATGCTGGCAACCACCAGTTCATGCCTCCGAATGGCGTGCCGCCTCAGCCTATTCCAGGGGCCAACGGCTATCCCAGCCCGGGACGCCCGTCAGCGCCGATGATGGTTCATCAAGGCTCGCAGCAAGGCCAACCGGTGTATGGCATGAGCCCCAACGTGCAGTACCAGCAGCCTGCGTATACTCCGCAGCAACCCGGCGGTCAGGGTAAGATGGTACCCGGCAGTCGCTTTCAATAAACTGCTAACACCTCGGCTTAGTTGGCAATGTGCGTGGGTACAATAGTCCCGGACCTCAACACTTTGGAACGAGTCCCTCTCAAATGCATCAATACGGCGCACAGCACCGCAGTGGAAGCAACAATTATGGAGGCAAGCCGTTCAACAACCATGGGCAGCACCAGGGTCCTCAACAGGTTCCCGCGGCGCCTGCCAGTGGTCCTGGACACGCTCCTGGAGGTACCGAAGAAGCCAAATGAGAGCTCGACGAAACCACCGAGGCATACCAACAACGCCATGGAGAAGTATTCCAGCACATCTCAGTATCTAGGCCCCTTTAGCGTTGATGAATAACTACTTGATCCGCGAAGCTTGGGATGGATGCTGCCAACTTGGATGTGCCAGCAATTACATGAAGCAGTCTATGGAAACCTCTGGAGCGGCTGTCAAGGAGATATCTCCAAGGGGGCTAGCATTCGGGGGGAAGCCAGCCACCGAGCTGGAGGAGCAGGGTCGGACTTGCTGTATGTAGTGCGTTTGCTGAACTGGAAAGTCATGTATTGGTCAGCTTGTGGTTGGAGAAGACAGTCCAAAAGGTTCAGATGACGCAGGGGGTCAACTGCGATGATGCCTGAAGGAGTGGGACTGTCATACCTCACAAGCGGATCACAGCAAAGGATCAAGGGGGATGTGAGGACGTCAGTCATGATCCAAACGCACATGTGAAGGCTGGGTGTGTCGCGGTAGCTAGGTAGAGCTAGTGACGAGAACGAAAAGCATAGGAGTTGAACAGTGTAGGCCAAAAAGCCATCTATCAATAGGTGGCTCCAAATGACAAAATATTACTTCAAATGGTCAAAGTGAATTGCGCCCGATTAAACAATAAAGACTTCTGGGCCTCTCTGGCAGTTAGTCATGCCAGTCTTTGCTGCATTGTGTAATGCTTTTGGATCAAGGACAAACAAAGCAGAAATGCACGAGTGGCCATGAGAAAAGGGAGAAGGAGATCGGAAAACCCTAGTGTTGCTGGAATATCTCGGGACGGCATGTTCGGCACCTTGACACAGCTACCTGAGGAAAGAAGAGGAGTTCAGGAATAGAAACTTGATTGTGCGAGGTCAGGCTGAGACTTTGATTATGGGTAAGAGGGCTAGTAGTTCACGGCTGTTTCCAGAGTTTGAAAGACTATTATTCCTGGACAGAATGAGAGAAATGGAGAGTTAAATGACGTGAGAGGGGTCTAGTCATACTTGCATGGGCTATTTTATCGATGATGGGGGATTGAATATAGTTGTGAGGTTGAGGTGGATAATTAAAGAGTTCGAGGTATCATGGCGGGGAGATTTTTTTAGAAAGGATGGGATGTATGGCAGCATGGAGTGAGTGGAGGGTGACAACCTAGGGCGCCTCTTGATGCAGGATCCATTGTTAGAACTTAGCATGCGTAAGGTATGCATTTTCGACTGGCGGCTGTATGAGGATGAGCCGATGAGGTACCTAAGGCAAGCGTGGCAAGGTAGGGAATGGCGGGAAACATTCTCATTCGTGGCGGTTGTAGGAAGCATGCCATTTGACGGCGCATGTCGCATGTTTCAAGAACCCCCTGCTTTCTTCTTTTATCCACCCTCCTTTTGGCCCTTTCCCCGATCGAGCATGGGGAAGTTTGGACGTTTGAAAAGTTGTAACCGTACTTTTTTTTTCTTCTTCTCCAAGTCTGCCAAGTCACGTCACAGTCGGTTCCCGTGGATGGCTTGGGTGGAGGGAGCCGAGGAGGCACACCGCGCATCACCGAACACTGGCTGGAATGAAGCCGTGTGGACCTGGGCGGCCTGGACCTCTTTGGGGTCGACGACCTTTGCTCTCTCAATGGAAGTTTCTGCGCTCCACAGATGGTCACCGGACACCGGTGAAGGTGAGGCTGCTACCTACGGATAGCTGGCGCAGGGGGGCACTTTTGCTCGGTTCAATGTACACATCAGTCAAGGACTGTAAGAACTAGCTGCGTTGACTATTTCGTGCTCAAGTTACTGAGATGTCTTTCTCTATTCTCTTGTGGTCTAGCTTGGGATGTATCCTGTCTTGTAGTGTTCGTCCTTGAGCTGGAAGGCAAGGCAAGCTGGCAAGGCGGTAGCCCGCCCGCCTGGGTGAGTGTAAACGGACAGCGCCAATCAATGAACTGGGCGCCGAAGCGACAGTCAGGCACGCAGGCCGGTTGGTTGGACGCGGTCTGGATGACTTTTCCCCAAATTCAAGTATGCTGGCATGATAGTATGATGGTAGGTACTTCGCGAACATGGAAGTAGCTAAGAGGCACAGCGGCTCATCCAAGGTTCGATTTGTGGCCCTTGCGCTTCACATCTTTACCGCGCAGCTATGTACAGCTACCGCTGTGGCCTGCCATTTGCGCATCCGTCACTGAGCCAATGACAAGCCTGGATCAGCACTTTGTCTCTTTTTGGACGGTCCAGGGTCTGTTCATCCCACCTTTTTTGGACCACGTCCCACACCTCTCTCACCCTCTCTCGGCCATCATATCCGCACATCAGAGACAAGACAAACGCGCTTCTTGTCGCCCAAGAGTGGCCCACGGTGAGGGGGAACAACTTACAGGTACCTTCGCCGACATACCCGCATCGCATCGAGAACATACGATGAGGTGCAGTGTGACTTGGTCCCTTACCCTTGCCTTGCCTTCATCTGTTCGGCCAAATGGGAGGGAGTGACTCTGGAGTTGTAACGCTTTCCGCGAGACCAGACCGGGGTTCCGTGAAGGACCCGCAAGGCGGCAGCAGGCGGGTTGAGCAAGGGTGCAAGGGGCACAAGACAGGAATTCGGCTGCTGCTCCTTGGGGCGCCCAACTCGGGGATTTCTCTTTATCGAGTTTTTCTTCAGGATGGAGCCGTTGTTGGACAGGAAAGAAGGGGACGGACGGGTGAGCCGAGAGTTGCGCCAGGACCTTGGGTCGTTGCGAGAAGAATCCAGAGGGAGAAGAAAAGGGAGGATATCAACCATACGCCGTCCATGCTGGACCTACACTACGTTGAAGGGATATCTCAAGGGTTCCCCTTCAGTTTCTACTTTCTACTAGTACCCGAGTTGCAGGTTGACATATCCATAACTTCCTAAGTAGCTATACTAGTTGTTTGGAGGCATCTAACCTGGGCGCCCGAGGTATCTCAATGTAGACCTGTTGGATGACGATGAAGAAAAGAAGGGTGCATGCGCCCAGGGCAGGGGTTGACTTGCGGCGCGAGAGAGGCACACCCCGCGACCGCTAGCCAGGCCGCATGGCTACCTCACCTTCATGGATCAGAATCCAGGTTCTGGACTGCAACTGGACGAGAAGTCAGAGAGTGAGAGAGCAGGCCTTTCAACCCTGGCAAGCCTGGGAAGCGGCTCTCTCCCCCTCTTGTTCGTACCCTTTCCTTTGCCAAGATACTGATGCACCAGCTGAGTGGTGTGGTTTGTTCGACAATAAAGAGCCCGTGACGGCCTCCCGCCTTTCTTCAGCCCTCTTATTTCATCTTCACCTGACTTCATTCGTAGCAGCTCGATCCGAGTTCTTGGGAACCTTCTTTTTTTCCCCTTTCTCACCTCTATCTCTACAATTTCTCTTTCTGTTGCTCAACCTCGTCCAGTGTTGTTGCGTCATCCACGCTCTTGACTGCTACAAGACTCAGCCCAACTTGGCCTACTTTCTTCCCCATTTACACGTGGAGAACTCGTAGCCTCACTGCCGTTCCTTCCTTTCCTGCCACTTCTAAATCTTCAACGGTTACGTATTAGTCGGTATTATTCAACTCCCGACCAGCCTCATTGTTTGGACGTTTGAACACATTCCTTCCACCGCCTTTCTCCATTGTAAAAGTCACCCGACTTTTTTTCTTCTCTTTCCTCGAGCCGGCTCGACTCTCAAGACCACATTCAGATAAAGACAAGTGAAGACACCCCGTCTCACTCACCTTGATTTGTCCGACTCACCTTCATTCGCCTACAACAATTCTTCAATCACCCCGACCTAAGAATCAACAGACCAACACACATCTCAAGACGAGGAGCAAATCCACTCTTTGACCCTAAAGAAAAATCCATCCATCCTTCTTCCAGTCAACACCAAGCTTTTGTCAACAACATCTGGAAGCGAAGCCACCTTAAAAAAGGAACTTCTCATCCTCTTCAAATCACCCTCAGCCTAGATCATATTCTTCCGACACCAGACGGCACCATGAAGTCCATCTTCGTCTCCGCGATCGTGCTGCTTGCCGGCCAAGCCGCGGCTCATATGGCCATCACCTACCCGCCGCCTCTGCGATCCAAGCAGAACCCCTTCGCCGGCCAGGACATCGACTACAGCATCACCAGCCCTCTGAGTGCTTCTGGCAGCGACTTCCCCTGCAAGGGCACCTTGAACCTCCTCGGAACCGCTGCGGCCTCTCCCGTCGCTACTTGGCAGGCCGGTCAGCAGTACAACATGACCATCGCTGGCGGTGCCAACCACAACGGCGGTAGTTGCCAGGCTTCCCTCTCCTTCGACAACGGCAAGACCTTCACAGTCATCCACAGCTACATCGGTAACTGCCCTGTCGCAGGCACTTCGTCTCTCACCTTCACCTTGCCTGCCGACACCCCGTCTGCCAAGGACGCCCTCTTCGCCTGGACTTGGTTCAACAATGTCGGTAACCGAGAGTTGTATGTCCATCCTCACCTTCTGATTCTCGCAGAGACCATGCTAATCTTCCTTCCACAGCTACATGAACTGCGCAGTCATCACCACCACCGGCGGAGGCGGCAGCGCTTCCACTCCCTTCGCCAGCCGTCCCCAGATCTTCAAGGCCAACATCGCCAACGGCTGCAGCACTGTCGAGGGATCCGACGTTCTGTTCCCCAACCCCGGCCCCCCTGGAGACGTCACCAACGCCGGCACCAAGACCGCTGCCCCTGTCGGCACCTGCGACGTCGCTGTTGGTGGTGGCAGCTCTGGAGGTGGTAGCAGCAGCTCTCCCAGCAGCTCTGCCAACGTCGTCGCTCCTGCTCCATCCGCTCCAGCCGCTTCTCAGGTCTCTCAGCCGAGCTCCCAGTCGACTACTCGCGCTGCTGGAGGCGCCTCGTCATCTGCTGGACTGTAAGTGTATCTGACCAGCGTCATTGTAATTATACTAACTCCCATTAGCCCTGGCGGCGTCTTCCTCACCGTCCCGGCCTCCAGCAACTCTGCCGTTGCCTCTGCCCGACCGACCACACTCGCGACCGTCAGCATTCCGGCTTCACCCAGCGAAGAGTGCACCGAGGGATCTGCGGCACCCACCGCCATGCCTGCTCCCACTTCGGCAGTCGTCCCCTCTGCCGCTCCTTCTGCTGCCCCCTCGGCTGCCCCATCCGCAGCTCCCTCGCCTGGCGCCGGATCTGGTGATGCTGCTGACGGCTCCATGACTCCCGGCAAAGCTTGCACCCCCGAGGGCCAGTGGAACTGCGTCTCCGGCACTCATTTCCAGCGTTGTGCCTCTGGACAGTGGTCGGTGCTCATGAGTATGGCTCCTGGCACCAAATGCCAGTCTGGCACAACCGAGGTCCTAGTCTGGCAGAAGAAGAGAGCCCACGGTCGCCGCTCCCTCCGCGCTAGACACCACATCTAAGCCTCGCGAGCCTCTGTAACAACCAACTTTTCTGCCCTTCGGAATGTATTGTCGAAAGGTTCACGACATTTTTATGAGACTTGGACGAGATACGGGGACACGCATCCATAGACATGGGGGACAAACTCTGGCTTTCTGAGATTTTGGCGTTTTGAGGATAGCATGGATCTTCCAGGACTGGTTCTTGGTTCGCATAGGAAAAGGCTGGCAGGTAAATACGCCAGACAAGCTAGTTAGCAAATCACCACGATCGTTGTAAAACATGGCTCTCTCGTGTAACATGCCGACGATGCAGTGCCAGGTGACGTGTACTTGGTGTGACTGTGGTTGTCGATGTCAAAAAGACGACTGGACTTGGCTTGTCGTCTGGTGAGGATGACACCTGCCGGGCCGGCAAGAACTGGTCAGACAGTGCCAGCTGGCAGCCGACCGCCACTTCAGGCAGCATACGCTCCTGTGGCTGGAGCTCTGAACCTCGAGACTTCAACCCCAGGTGGAAGACATTGAACGATTATCATTCCACGCTACCACATTATTTTCGCATTTGAGCGATAAATTCTTACCGTTGCAGAATTATTGAATCATACGCGACTACCTACTGTCGATCTGGCGGGTGGGCCGCTCCTGACGTACCGGGTCTCATCCCTGCGAAGACCCAGGCCGGTTCATCTGAGGCAAGGAGGGAGTTCACATTAAGGTGGCTTGGCAGGGTGGTGACGAAGTGAAGATCTCAACGCTATGCTTCGCAGCAGCCTCTAAGCATATTACATAAAACTGAAGATGGCGGTACCGTCAGGTCGTACGGCCTTCAAGAAGAAGGATGGTGTCTTGACCCTGACGCCGGATCAGCAGTCCGTCATTTGGACTCCAGCACCCGGGAATGGCCCGCCTACGGTCTCCCTGGTGATTGCCAATATCTCAAGTGAGCTTCCACCGGACTAGACAGTATTCTGCGTTACTGACGCGGGCCACAGATTTGCAACAAACACCAGACAGCGCGGCCAAGGTCATGCTCAAGATCTTTGAGAAGCCTCCAGATGCAACAGAACAAGTGCCGTACCTCTTCCACTTCACATCACCAGAAGCCAGGTCCGAGGCCAACGCCATCAAGGACCTGCTCTCGAGGCTGTTGGCCGATATCCGCTCCGGCGATCCCAACGTCCCCAAACCCTCCGGCAACTCAACTCCGAACGCGGCCAACGGCGCAAATGGTGCCAGTGGTGGTGGCGCTGGCGCCGGCGGCGGCTCGTCCATGGCGTTTGCCAGCTCCGCCAACGCGAAGCCCAACAGCGCGCGCTGGTTCGACGACGCCCAGCTCAAGGGCGATATTGAGCTGCAGCAGTCCCTTATGAAGAAGGACCGCACTCTACACCAGACGTACATGGATGCGCGCGCGACCAAGCCCGAGTCGATATCGGACGCGGCCTTCAACGCGCAGTTCTGGTCGACGCGCACAAACTTGCTGCGTGCCCACGCCATCGAGGTGAACCAGCAAAAGGGCGCGTACAACGTCCTCCCCGCGATAAAGCCGCGGCTGGAGAACGACGTGCTGAAGCTCGACATCACCGTCGAGATGGTTCAGCTCATCATGGCGCAGCACCCGCTCGTCAAGCGGCTCTACGACGAAAACGTGCCCAAGGTCCCCGAGAGCGAGTTCTGGTCCCGCTTCTTTCTTAGCAAGCTTTTCCGCACGCTGAAGGGAGACAGGATCACGGACGAGAGAAAGGAGGGCATCAAGCGCGACGCGCTCTTCGACGCCCACGACGCCAGCGAGAACACGACAATGTTCCAGCGCAAGAGCATGGCGCAGAGCGTGCCGCACATCATTGACGTCCACGGCAACGAGGAGAACCAGGGCGGCTTCCGCAGCGGGAACCAAAAGGACGTCGAGATGCGGCCGCGCAAGAACGTGCCCATTGTCAACACCCTCAACAGTCTCAGCGAGCGTATGCTCGCCAACGTGGCCCCCTCAGATCGCGATGGCGGCGCCGAGGCCGAAGAGGACTCGACGTGGGCGGAGATTGCCCTCCGCGACCTGCGCGGCGACGCAAAGGAGAACAAGATCATACTCAACATCAAGGAGCAGAACCGTTTCTTTGCGAAAAAGGATGAGGCAAAGTCCGCAAACGCCCTCGCCTTTGCAAAGCAGAACCCCTCGGACGTCCTCTTTGACATCCAGACCGACCTCGAGACCATTGAGACGGACGGCGCGGGCGGCCTCAACCTCCGCGCGGGCATCGGCATCGTCGACGACAGCGACAGTGACGACGACGCCGCCGGAGGAGGAGGAGGAGGAACGCGGCGCCCGCCCCACGTCGGCTCCCGCGCCGCGCGCAAAGCAGCGGGCGACGACATCATGAAGGGCATCCGGCAGCGCCGCGCGCAAAAGTACGGCGACACGGCGGCGGACGAGTCCCGCCCCATGGGCCTGCCCGTCGAGGTCGCGGAGCGGTGCCAGCTGACGCACGCCACGACGGTCGAGTTCCTGCACCAGTTCTGGAACGCTTTCTTGTCGGGCGACCCGGACCGCGCCAACGAGCTGCAGTACCTCGTCGAGTCCCTCAAGCGCTCGGCCGAGCGCATCCACGCCGTCGCCGACGAGGCGGAGAAGACGCGCGACGACATCATCCGGGCCAAGAAGAAGGAGATTATGGATCACTACAAGGCGACGGGGAAGAAGATTCGCGGGTGGCGGCCCGAGCACGAAAAGGGCGGGAGGAAGGCCGTGTTGGCGATTATGCAGCCCACGCTCGAGGCGTTGAAGAGGGCGCAGGGGGATTATCAGCGGGCTCTTGCTGCTGAAGGGGTTCAGCTTTCCACTGAGGCTTGATGAAGATTGCACTTGGGGTGAGGTGAGGTGAGGCTGGGACTTGCTAGGGGACTACGTTCTGGGCTTATGGCGGAGAGAAAACTAAAGGGTCGGGTTGTACAAGAGATATCAAAATGCGAAACCATCAGGAGCTTTATTGAGGAATTAAGCAAACCACATCGAGCCGTACACGCTTCTTCTCCGATGCTCACTATGCACGCAAGTCTTGTCGAGTGACGCTCCATACTGTCTCGTAAATCACCAAGGAGGGGCACATAAGTTAGTGTTTTCCAAATCCCATGTTATGAGGATAGTAATTCATAGCCCATCTCTTGCTATTCCTTCTTGTTCAGCAAGTCTTTAAGATAATACCTAATTAGGTACCTGATCGTAGATGGTGTGTGTCCTCTCAATGATAATACAGAATCCCACCACTCACTTCCTTTCCCCCCCCTTTCTATAGCCCACGATGGGGATGTCCTCAGAGGAACCTCTTTCCCACCACACAACAAGAATCGTACAAGTTCGCCCCGAAAGACCAACCCCGTCCCCATCCATCTCTCTGATGATGGCCCAAGTTAAGGGTGGAAGGTTTGCTTCAGCGAAGCCAGAATGACATTACAAAGAGAAAGGGAACAGATAAACGCGAAAAATGAATTAAAGGTGTCTTCAAGCAACCGCCTGCCGCACCCGAGCCTCCTCAGCATCCGTCGACGTCGGCAACACACCGAAGCCCATGCCCTTCCTCTTCTGGCTATTCTTGGCCCGGACGTCGCCGTACTTTTCGTCGAACCGCCGGATGCTCTTCAAGCTGTCCATGTCCTCGCTGACGCTGGCGGCAATCATTTTGAGGGCTTTGTCAAAGTGGTGCTTGACGAGCGTGCGTTTCGGCGGGAACACGTAGGGTTCCGGGCCGGTGTGCCGCGCCGCCACCTCGCTCTCCTCCTGCACGGCCGTCATGGCGGCCGCGACGCAGAGGTTCTTGAGGTCGGAGCCGGAGTAGAGCACCGTCCTGCGCGCGACGTCGTCGACGTCGACCGAGGCGTCGAGCGTCTCGCCCTTGAGGAGGATGCGGAGGATGGAGGCGCGGTCCGCCTTGAGGGGCAGATCAACGAGGATTTTGCGCGGCAGCCGGCGCAGCACGGCGTCGTCGAGGTCAAAGGGCCGGTTGGTGGCGACCATGATGAAGGCTTTCGTGTCGCTCATGCCGTCCCACTCGCGCAGGAACTGGTTGATGGTCTCGCGGTGCGCGGCGCGGTTGCGCTGCCCGCGGGCGGCGAGTAAGGCGTCGGCCTCGTCGATGAAGATGACGAGCGGGCTCAGCTTCTTGGCGAGCGAGAAGAGGGCGCGCACGTTCTTCTCGCTCTGGCCGACGTACATGTCGTTGATGCTGGCGCCGCTGACCTCGAGCATGTTGGCGCCGCTTTCCTTGGCGACGGCCTTGGCGAGGAGGGTTTTGCCGGTGCCGGGCGGGCCGTAGAGGAGGCAGCCCGGTATCCTGTCGGTGGCGAGGACACCGTAGGTGAAGGCTTCGGGGCGGACAAGCGACAGCGACGTCAGGAGCTTGAGGTTGTTCTTGGTTTCCGCGTCGGCGTGGACGTCGGCGAACGTCGTCTTGATCTCACTGCTGTTGACGAGACCGCTGAGGAGCTTCTTCTCGTAGTCGTTGTAGTTGCCGGACACGCGGAGACGTTCGGGTTCGGGCTTCTGCATGTCGGCAGACGAGCTGCCGCCACCGGAGGAGGGTTTGGAGCGCGTCGGTCGGTCCTGGATGCGGTGCAGCTGCGCGGTGCTGTAACTGCTGGACTCGACGACATCGAAGAGAACCCTCCATGACTCGTCGGGGCTGACGGTGCCCTCACAGGCGTAGAAGAGGCGGGTGATGTGGTATACGTCGGAAAGGGGTAGGATGGAGGTTGCCAGGACGCGGGGGATGAGCGAAACCTCCATATAAGAGCCGTGCGTGTCATCCAAGAGGAATTGCGGTGGCGAGGACTTTGACACGCCGACGATACGCAGTTTACTCGTGTCTCGCGTTTGGCCAGAAATGCTCTTCAGCATATGCTGAATGTTTCGCAGGTTCTCTTGCAAGTAGTCGTTGGCCTCGTAGATCTTCTTGGTGTTTGCAGCGTCGGTGATCCGCTGGAAGTTCAGGGGCAAAGGGATCAAACACTCCTCTGCTGCAATCTCCTTGAGTGTCGATGCGTATTGCTCCGAAGGGTTCTCGTTGGATGAGGTGCCCACGAGGGTGACTCTTTTTCCAGCGCGCCACATAGTGTCAACGATGGTCCGAAGTCGACCGATGAGCAGCGCACCCTCGAGCGTCATGTTGAGCTCGACAAAGTCGTCCACGTGAATGATCAGGTTGCGATCAGGCTTCGATGTCATCTTCGTCGCCGAGTTGGCAATCTCCTCGAGGACGGCATTGATCTTCAGGTTCTCCCATCGGTCGACAGAGGGAAGGATGTAGTCCTTGGGGCCTTCTTTGATCTTCTGCAGTTCGTTGTCCATCGGGTTGCCGTAGCCGCCATCAACCCCATGATCCCGAAGGTTGACCCAAGCCGCTTCGATCTCGCCAGAAAGATCCTCATCGTTAGGCTTGGACGGCTCCTCGCTCTTGACGAGACGTCCGTTCATCTCGGCAGATCGGTACCCCAGCATGGAGATTGAGCCACGCGAGTAGGCACAGTCCTGTCCGATGTAGTCGCCCACAAGCATCGCCAACTCCTGCGCATCGAGGTGAATCAGATCAGCCTCCGCGCATGACGCAACGTGCTTCATGAGTTTCTTGGTATGGCTTCGACCGGTGTAGTTCGGGATGTTGACGACAGTAAGAGGTCTCTTGAGCTCCCTGCCTGCGGCACTTGTGTCCGGCTGCAGGGAAAGCTCCGCGCACACAGCCGTGACAACTTCCCCGCGGATTCTGGGGTCGAATAACCTCAGTCCGTCACGTCTCAGCTTCGGTCGTCCCTCTTCGATGTATTGCTCGACAAGTGACTGCAGTACGCTGTCTGGGTCTTGTGTTGGATCGGCGTCCGTCGTTGCTCTGGTGTGTTGCGACAAAAGGTTCGAGAGGATGAATTTGTTGGAGTATCGAAGCATGTCTGCGAATTCCGTGGTCGGCAGCGGCTCGCGGGAGCTCTGCAGGTTATTCGAGGATCGCATCTCGTCAATGGAGAGACTCAGCCACTGCGATGCCTCAGCGAGGAGGCGGCTCCTCCTCTCAATGGCTTCGAGATTGCCCCGGCGCAGCGCATCTTGCAGCTTCGCTTCGCTCCAAGACGCATGGCTGAAGACGAGATCCAAGTCCTTCCAAAGCAGGTCGTGCCAGCGGGCGCCCATGTATCGATGGTGCCACAGGTCGTTCGTGAGGGTGTTGATGCGGTTTTCGGGGTCGTACAGCGACACGCTGGTGTCGAGGAAGCTCTGCGGCAGCTTCACGGGTGGCAGCTCGTCAGCGGCCCGCGGCCTCGAAAGGCGCGCTCTCGCCGAGGCGAACGCGCCGCCTCTCGACCTCCGAAAAGCCGACTCGGCTGTGACCGACTCTGTCTTGCTTATGTTGCCATCTTTGCTTCTACCGCCGTCTTCTTGCTCGCCGGCTGGTTTGTCTGATGGTTTGCCGTCTTCTGCGCCGCCTTCGGACGGGCTCTTCCGCAAGCTAAAGGACGGGTGGAAATGTCGACACTGGCTGCGATGAGCGGCCGAAAGCGCTAGTCTTGATGATATTGAGACGCGAGAGGCTGAAGCAAGGGCCCGAGGCCCTATTGCATACATTCGGAAGGAAAATGAGTAAAATGCCAGCAATTGGTAGTGTCGTTGCGTGGCAAAAAAGACCTTGTTTGCTTTCGAGTTGTTGAAGCCGGCACCATGCTTAGTGAGAACGGCGGAATCTCGGCAGAGCCTTCACCGACACTCACCGAGCAGCCCACACCGAACTAAATCACAATGAAATCATTTACGATGGATCCTAGACCAAGCCATAGATGACTCAGCATAGGAAATGCAATAGAATAGAAATACAGTCAGGAAGGTTTTCGTTAATCGCTAGTAAATAGCTTGTTGGTATGGATATTGTACATTTCGTTCAGCCGGAGGGATTGGATGCTCTGTGACGGGCACTTTTCTCAGAATATGACGTCCTCCCCGAAATCCACTTCCTCAGTATCAGCTGGCAACTCTTTCACCCTCGTCCACCACTCATGCCAGTTCCGCATTTGATCTAGCAGGCTCGTCGTCAATTCTTGCATGTCCCAGTTAGGCCGTAGTGATCCAATCCCAGACCGTGTTGAAGGTGTCCCGCGGTTTTGTGCTGATACCGTTAACAACGGTCCTGTCGTAACCCAATTCCTACTGATGTCATTTCCTATATGCTCTGACCAGGTCAGAACCGTGGTGTCCTGGATTGTAAAGATCTCATTGAGAGTTCTAAGTCGGCGGAACAGCCCCGAAGCTGCTATGAAAGGGGTTTCTTGGTTTTCAAGATACTCTTGCGCCCCTTCGGCAAGCAGGCTGAACCAATGTAACATCGCCATGACGTTGTCCCAGCCTCTAGGTTCTGTGGCCATGAATGAAAACGCTTCGAGAGAAGGTCGAAAAGCGTTGAGGAGCCAAGTGATTCGTCTGAGCACATGAACATGCTCAGGACTAAGCATGCTCCGTCCTAGGGCGGATGCCCAAGCCAGTGTGGTCGTGACCAAGGCAGCAATGCACCCAAGATTGTCTTCGCTGACTTGACGAGGAACAGGTGGCAATTTTATTGCCAGTCCAAGCGCGTCGCATAGAACATCGAGCATCGCGTAGGCCTCGACATTGGATAGAGTAGCATGCAATACCGCGGGAAGCATCTTGCCGAGAACGAACGACATGATGGCATCGTTCTCTAGAGCTCCTTTCAGCAGGACAACTTCATGCGGCAGTCGGCCACGCTGGAGAGCTCCCTTGAAGTTATTGAGCAAGAAGTGGAATAGTGTACTAGGGACTCTGGGGTCGCCTTCCGCAAGCTTGAATCCGTATGACTGGATCAACGCTGCTTGTAATTGCGGGTCCTGCATGGGCGGCGAATACTCCTTGCTCACCTCCAAGAAGAACTTTTGCACGGGACAGATGTCTGACCCATGTGCCTTGATCAAGGAGATGATGTTGCGTACGAACTTCACATAGCTCGGGTGTTGTGATACGTCTGCGGTCATGACCTTAACATCAGCCCGCATTTGGTTCATGACGGCACTCAGCACTCTCTCGAACTCCGACCGCATGTTCTTCTTAGAAGCAGCATCGGCTGCGTGTAGAGATTTCCGCATCCAAGATATCGCGTCTGAACGTGGTCAGTTATCTGTGCCACGGGATCAACTTCCGCAAGTACTCACACTCAAAAAAGTCACGATTGGCCGCGTAGCCTGGGTTGACGACGAGACCTGCTTTGTCCGGAATGAAAGGATAACCCTGTCGCTGAAGCTGCTGTCCAAATCGGTTCTCAAATCTCAAGTAGTGACTCGGCTGTACGATGACCATGAGCCACAACAGCAAAAGGCTTCCTCCAATATCCTGCGTCATGTTAGTTATATATATGTATCACGCGTCAGTGGCGTTCCTGACCTCCAGGTTAATGGTTGCTCCCTTCTGCGCAACAACGGAAAGGAAGAGTGGAAGATATTGACGTTGTTCGCAGCCAAGCTTGTTTGGCGCTTTCCCGAAAAGCCCATATTTGGTACTTTTGAAGACCTGCGAGAGTGCCTAGGAATGGTTAGCGATTGATACGCCCTCTGACTTAACTTATATCAACTCACCATCATTCCACAGCGGACGAAAAGACCAATCATCATGCCAGACACCACGACAGATTGCTCAACACAGGTTGTTGACACACTTGAAGTGCCAGGTTTACCACGCGATTGATTCGACAAGAGGCAGCGTGCTGCTGAAAGGAAGGCAGCTGCCAACTCACGGTCCAGCATCTAGGAAGGCGTCAGACACGTAAATGAAACAGAAGTATGAGTATGACTTACCAAAATAGCATCCTCAGACTCCAAAGTTCGAGAAGCCATACTGTCTTGACTATCATCTGCTTCATTGAAGACCGACTCGATTCGACCGAGAAGACGTTCGAGCGTAGTCAGAGAGGCTTGGAGAAGGGTGGAAGGGAAGTCTGCTGGCAAAGTAGAGAAGTGCTGGAAGACTTGCTGCAATTGATCTGCGAGTGATGTTAGTTCAACTACACTGAATGTCTGGCAAGTTATCTTACAAGGGCTAGACGCGAGCCTTGCCAGCTCCAAACTACTCGCATATTGCACAACCTCCATTGAGGACTTGACTGAGAAAAGCATGATCTCCATGGTAGCAGCTTTGTTCGTAGCTACAATGGAGTTCATCAGGTCTTCGCTGACATTGTTGCTGTCATCCTTGGACAGCGCCAAGAACTGCTGTTGGATATCTGCCGCGGCAGAGTTGTACTGGTCCAACAGCTGCTTGAACACATTGGCCTGCCAGCTAGCCAGCGGGTTGAAGGACGCGGTGGACTCTTCATGTACAACAAACCTTGCCAGTTGATTCCAGGCCCGCAGATTAATAAGACAGGCTTCCTTATGAGAGCTAGCAGGAATAACCAACTTCTCCAGATTGTGGATGCCGGGTCGAAGATCAGGTGGCGCTGCCCAGAACAGAGTACATAAGAGATCATGATGGTTCCTGAGAGCGGCTAAGTCATGCTGGTGGACATTTTGTTCTTTGGAATATTGCCGATCGTGATTTGGCAGTGTGCGAGCGACCAAATTCCGAATGTCGTTGACTGCCCCTTTCTGCCTCAACCTCTTGATGGCTAGTGCCACGAGTTTGAGAAATATGTGGAAACACCTATCCTCAGGCTCGACATGGAGAGACGGGTCAAGGTGAAGGCTGTCTAAGAAACGAGCTGAACGGAAGGCTTCTTCGTTGCGTAGATGAGATAAGTTCTGGGAGCCAAAGAAGTCAAAGATGGTACCGATGATACCGCTGCTTTTCTGCCAACCCCATTGATCGACCAGATAGTGACATCTAGATACTAGTGCCCGACAGTAGTCGTTGAAGCTCGGCGACTGGCGGGGATTGTCGCGGTATAGTTGAAAGACGCGTTTGAGGACTTGCTGGGGTAAGCTCCACCCCTCCAGGGGAGCCAGGTGTCTCCGATCAGAAACGACTACACCATTGTCGTCAAATTCGCACAGAGGTAGAAGTGTGAACATCTTCTTCCAGAGATTCTCAAACTCTTGGGAGTCCATGCCACGAACGATGCTTGGTTGTATCATGGACGAGTATGTGACATCCCAGAATGTCATTCTCGGAATCCGAAGATATTCTAGGACCTTCATAAGAAGCACCCAAGCGTGTGCTACGACCTTATCGGAGCGAATGCCACGCTCGCGGTATCTCAAGGTCTGAAGATCATCGTAGAGTTGTGTAACGTCGTCCAGGCCAATGTCGAGTAGCAATCGGACCAGTGTTTCTGCAGTTTTTCTAAGAAGCGCCTCCATAGTAAAGCTCTCTGTCATCAGATTCGGACTTTTTTGACAAAGGCGGACTGAGTAGGAGACGACGAGAAATACATTCGACAACACGTCAGCCAGTTCCCGACGTCTTGCCAAGTCAACCACATTTTGAGAGTCGAAGCGTGTCAAGAAAGATTTAACCACGTCCGAGACCCGAGAGATGAAGGAACCAGCATCGGCATCATTGTTGAAGCTCATAGCTTTTTGAACATAGTCCAGAACAAATCTTGCCGCTCCTTTGGCATTGGGTGTGACTTCTGCAGACAGTGGTGGCTTGAGAATTTGTTCGAGGATTCCGTCCATCACGATGCCGAACTCGGACGAGACCTGTTCGGTCCACGAGTCCCATCGAAGGACCATTTCACCCAGAGTATAAGAAATTCGGGGTCGATGATTCCACACCTTCTCGGGAAAATGGTCATACGCTGCTGAGCTGACCCGACCATTGCCTATGAGTGTTGTCTCGTGGAAAAATACCCCGCGGTCCAAGGGGAAGATGTCAAAGTGCTGTGTGTAGTGTGTGCCGAAAGGACCAAGACCAAGAAGCTGATTATCGTTGAACAAGGCCGTGGGCGTTTCAGTAGGAGTCATCAACTCTACAGTAGGTAAGGGATCGTCTGCATGACGGAAATGGGCTGCCGTAACATCGATCTTGATTGGCTGTGCAGACTTTCTCGGACGTTTCAATAAGGGCTTTTTGACTGCTGCAGGCTCAGGAGAGCCTCTAGTAGCAAGGCTGTGCCCTGACACTACTGATGATGTGTCGTCTAGGAAAGAGTCCAAGTGCGCACTTCTCGATGACAGCGACTGCGAGTGATGACGCTTGAAAAGAGCATCGAGAGCTCGCTTCTTTGCTTGAAAACCGACTCTGCCCGGTTGCTGGGTCAAGTCCGTTTCAAGCTGAGCCGGTCTATTTGGGGCATCTTGCGTCTGCTGGCTTGTGACCGAATTGCTCCTCGACATTTGCCTTACTCGAGAGTGCGTCTCCGGCAAAGGCGTCAAAGGCGTTGAGACCTCACGACGGAGTTCATCCGGCTGGGCGGCGCTGCGTGCCTTCGGAGAAGGTACAGCACCACGAGAGAAGACGTTGGATGGTAGTTGACTGAGTGGGCGCCTTCCACTTGGCCCTGTGGGCTTAGGTCTCTTCGCCTGCAATCCAGATCGTGGTCGAATCTTGCCTCCTTTCCACTGTTGAAGCACTCTGCTCGCATCCACATTGTCCTTCCGCGTGGCTAGGCGTATGCTCTTGTTTGTAGGACTGGATCGTCCCATGTGCCGTTTGCTCTGAGCTGCTCGAGCCGCAATCTTGAGAAACTTTGGCGCATCTGGTTCGATGACATCCAGAATACTCAACCTTGGAGGAGATTTGGCTCGGGGCACAATTCGAGTACTGCTCGAAGCAGATTTGCGACTTTTGGAGAAAGGATCAAGGCGTGAAGCCCCATGAGATCGATTTGCGGTTTTCGGCGGTCGCCCACGTTTCTTGGGTTGAGTGCCCAATGGACGGTCGTTCTTTTTCTGCCTTTTGGCGGGTTGTTGAAAGTCTCTCAAAGTCAATTGACGTTTTCTGCTTGGAAGCATATGATCAACTTGATCTTCTTCGACGACGGAGCCACCGTCGTCGTCGTCACTGATTTCCATGATCTCGGGTCTTTCGAAAGGCAACACAGTCTGGATATTGTGAGAAGGGCGTGTGGGCGTCTGCGCAGTGACAACATCGTCGTCCGAATCATCAAAGAGGAACGCTGCTGCCGTAGACGATGCCGAGCGGCCTACCCGTCGGACAGCTACGCCTCGTCTTGGACCCTTCTCAGGGGAGTCATCAGGGCGTTGATATTGAGTCGGCTTGGGGCGGTTTGCCTGTTGATCGAGTCTAAGCCAGGATGCCGGAAGAACACCTCGCATTCTCTTTGCAATCGCCGCGCCGACCTCCTCGCTACCGCCATTCTGACCCTCCGACTCCTCTCCTGAGCTGCTCTGCGCATCATCATCTCCGGATCCATCTTCTTCTCCCACATCGGAAGTGTGTGCCATGGTCAGGTCGAATACTGGCGGCTCCGCTTCGACTGAAACACGCCGCTCGAACTCAGAAGGAGATAGCATGTTGCTATCCACAATAGGCAGATCGTCGCCCTCGAAAATAGCCGTTTCGGCGTTGTTCTCGGCAGGCAATGATGTTGGATCAGCCGGACGGTTGAGCGAAGTGATTTGCACTTCAGGCGACGAAGAGGGCGAAGAAAGAATGCCGTAGATCTCATCATACTGCTGAAACTGCGGACGCGAGGGCGAAAGCGCATTTGGGGCTGCCGCCTGTGTCACTACAGCCTTCATCGCAGTGGCTTTCCCACGTTTTCGCTTGTTGGTAGATCGGTTTGCCAGCAAGTCGCGATGAATCTTATCAAGAGAAGGCAGATCATCGACATCGGAGAAGCTGGTATTATCCGTATCTCCCTGACTTGGTTGGCTACTCGGTCCACCGCGGTGCTTGGGGGATGATGTTCTTAGGGGTGAAGCGGAGAGGGACGACATCAGCTGAGGACTGGAGCTCGGCGGGACGTCCAGGCCGTTGAACTGGCTCTCATCTGTGGTTCCGTTTGGCGCATCAGCCGTGAGTTCTTGGCTGTCATCCTCAAAATCCTTCTCCTGGGAATCCTCCTCCGGCCGTTGTCGTCTCGGGGCTGGTTCTGTCGGCATTCTGATCGGCCGGATGCCGTGTGACTTGAGAGCCTTGCTGTACTGAGCATTCTCAATGAGATATGGGTGTTCCTGGATGGGTTTCCTTGGTCTGAACGAGCGTTCATACCGCACAGCGACTTTTCGGGCAACCTCCTCGTCCCTGCTGGAGCTTTCCACCCGCTGAATAGCTGCCGGCCTCGGCTGCTTCCTCGGCTGGGCCGGCGCCGGAGAAGCTAGGGAAGAGGCTGCTGAGGAGGCGAACAGGGGCCTCACGGGCGAAGCACTGCTATTATTGGACTGCTCGGCTGGAGCCGCCACCTCTGCCTCCGGACTCGAACTAGCAAAGAGCTGGGCAGCCAACCGTCTCTGCCGGCTCTGTTGGCTGGGTTGTGAAGAGGCCATCAGAGGTTTGTTGGGAGGTGGAAGGCTTTCGGTATCGTTCTCGGCGGGGAACTCAGGTTCAGGAGCAGTGATTCTAACATAGCTCGTCGAAACAGTATCATCGCCAGCCAGTGGATCGGGGGAGTCGTCGCGATTGTTGGGAAGATACATAGTCCTCGTTTTCGCCGTAGGTACCGCCACCTGGGCTTCTGGTTCGTCTAAATCCAAGTTGAAGGGGTCGTCCAGCTCATCCACATCCGGCACCGAAGACAGCGGTGAAGATGGCGGCTCCCCGTCAAAAGGCGTAGACACCACATGATGGGGGTTTGTTGCTACACGATCTGGAGTCGCGTCTGCTGGCGTATCTTGTGACGATTCGGGAACGTCCCATATGCTCTCTCGGGCACCCTTCGCTTGCAAAGTATCGGGGGTGGGTTTCGAAGGTAGTTCGGGGTTCGGTAGCGACTCCAGATCCTGGCTATCGAAGTCGAGTTCGTCGTCCGAGTCTGGGACCTCGCCCAGTTCTTTCCAGTTTGCCATGACATAAAGCGTTCATCATAAAGAAGTACACATCGCAAAGTATGAAGCAGTAAAGGGCTTCTGAGGATGGTTGGGTGGCCAAAATTTCGGCTCGTCTTCTGCGATTCGGAAAGCGTAGTGCTCTCATTACCTAAGATAAGGTAATCGTACCCAGGCGAGATGCAAATAATCCGAGTGTTGAAGCAGACGCGTTCGGGCGGTCGCTGAGCGCGTCTGGTGGGGTACACGCTGTTGCACGCGGTGGCACGGGGGCGGGAAACCACTTTAGTCGATTGCGTGTGCGCACAGGCCCCGGCCTGTACCGATTTTTGGGTGACCGACCGCGACCTCTGGGTTCGCGCTACCTGAGCTATCCCGGGTGTATCAATGATTACATCACAGCCGCCGCTTCCTAATATTTGCAAGATTGAGCTACCTATCCTGGCATAATAATCGTGCACCGAAGGATTCGTTCCAAAATTCGACTGTTCCAAACCGTTCAAGGCCTTCAAGATGAGCTTCAGGAACGTTATACCCATCGTCGTAGCTGTGGTAGCAGGCATCTCCATCAGTACGCACCACCCCCAACCACTTGATGCTAGAGGAGAGACTTCTGGCCCAACTCGACAGTCGCTGACCTTGATAGCTAACTACACGTTAAAGCCTGAGCTCGAAAGGCAAGCAAAGCTGCGCGAGCAAAAACAATTTCAACTACCCAAGCCCATCTTGTCAAGCGAACCGAATACCTCCGATTTACAGACTCCGAACCAAACAACACCTCAAGCCGGCACGGGTTCCGAGAACTCAAGACCGAATTCTTGAAGATCTAAACAGAAATGGATTTAACAATCTCGCCACAGAGCTATCAGGCTGCTACAAGCTAAAGTAACTTGCATTCTGGCAACGGAAGATATCCAGGTCTACCAGGAGACATATCACGTACCCCGGAGACCATGATATGGTAAGTCCCCCAAAAGAGAGGGACTTATGGCGAAAAAAATAAGTTCAGGCAAAACAATGAATTGATTCGCATAGCTTGTCAACTTCATGCCTAAGGGAACAATACTCGAAATAATAGAGTCGGATAATTGAGTCGGATAATTGAGTGGATGTAAGATATTCGACAGCACCCAAGAGCATGCTGTGTCTGTTCAGTTCAATTGTACAATAAGTATCAAGAGCACAATATCGGACAGCACTACAGGAGGAGAGAGTGCGCAACCAGAAGCATATAGAATTCGCTCATTGGCTGAATTGTCTGGGTTGCACAAAGGCTGACAGAAGTCACCGACTTCGGCCGAGATGCGCCGTGATGTTAAAATCAAGTACAAACAGAACGGTTCGTATGCGGCAGCCGATTGAGCCGGCAAACCCGTGAAACACGGATCCAAGAGGTTCAAAAGTGATGCTCAAGTGACTGAGCAGTCCCCGAAGCACATTTATACTTTTAAATAATGACCACAAGACGAAGCAACTGAGATCCCGGTCAAACGGCGGTATTCGGGATGAGCCGACAACCGAGCCCTGCAATGGGAGCTGCGCTGTTGCAACACTGGGCTGCAAACCTGCCAGTGACAGCAGCAAACAGCACTTTGGTGCACTGGAGAGCTACCCGTAAAGCTCCCCGTCAGCCCAGACACCGAGGTGAAGGAACCGGCAACACCCCCTGTGGCCCGGCCCCCCCCTGTGCCCAGCACTCAATTCCATTGGAAGGATGGCTCTCGCACAGGCCACAAAATCATCACGTGATCTCCCAGTCACCCAGTCGCAGCCGGCGTATTGCAATCGAAATTCCAATCATACGATTGCCCGGAACTTCTAGGTAGACCAAAAAAACCCTCTTCTTCCTCCTCGACGCCCATCACGAATCTCGCAAGAAACCCCCCCCACCCGCGACGTCCACGAACTCAATCGCTCCAATTGAGCTCCTCCCCGAACTCGACCGTTCCCCTTTAGCGATTTTTCGATTTTTTTTCCCCCGACGACACATAAACCCCGACACAATGTTGCGCCCGACCGTTTCCCTGGCCCGTACCGGCCTGCGCGCCCACTCCGCCGTCATCCGCCGCGCCGCTTCCACCCACGCCATCTCCAACCCTACGCTCGCCAACATCGAGAAGAGATGGGAGGGCATGCCCCTCCAGGAGCAGGCCGAGCTCTGGATGGCCCTGAGAGACCGCATGAAGGGCCCCTGGGCTGAGCTCACCCTTCAGGAGAAGAAGGCCGGTGCGTGACTATTTTCCATTATATTCCGTCGGGGGAGAGGAAACGTGGTTCGATATTGGCCGAAAGAGGATAGAGAGAAAGGGAGGGAGGAGACAAAGCCATTGAGAGGAAGCACTCTTCAATTGAGAACATCAATTGAGCAAGAGGGAAGAGGCATCTTATATATGCCATCCGATGCTCTCTCTCTCAATTGGCTTTTTCTGATGCCCGAACCTCATATCCATCCCCCCCATCCCTGTGCATATGCATTGCGTCACATCGAGAAACCTCGAAAAACTAACGCAAATTGTCTCAACAGCCTACTGGATTGCCTTTGGCCCTCACGGTCCCCGCTCCGGTACCCCCGCCGGCGAGACCGGCCGCGTCTTCTGGGGCGTCATGGCCGCTGTCGCCGCCAGCTTGGCCATCTTCTCCACCGTCCGCATGTTCGCCGGCCCTGCTCCCGACACCATGACCAAGGAGTACCAGGAGGCTTCCAACGAGTTCCTCAAGGTATGTAGCATACACACTGGCAATCTTCACTGCGTCCTCGACTAGGGACACGTCGACGTCGACGTCAAACACAACGTCAAACACAAATACATCAGATGGCTAACCACTCTTTTCCTTCGCGTATAGAAACAAAATTCTGACCCCCTCACTGGTCTCTCTTCCGAGGGCTACTCCGGCAAGGGCATGGTCCAGTCTCCTCCCAAGGCTTAAAACCCCCGATATCCCGTTACCCTTCCCTATCTCGTCTCTTAGAATCACGAATCACAAATTCGACACACACCATGGCAGTTTTGCCCATGTATTAAATGACTACTAGTAGAAGGCTGGCTGGCATGGGCTGAGGGGGGTTTGCGACGTGACTCGAGGACAACCCAATCTGCTTGGTGTAAATACTGTACTAAAAGAGCTGAATTCCAAGCAAATTTCCATTTGTTTCTTTAAACGAGTCTGCCCTTGGTGCCGTATCAGGACGTGTGGTGACTCACGTTTACCTCACTAATTTCTTGACTATGTTGACTTTGTCACTCAATATCATATCACGTATGGAGAGATATCAAAGTCCACAGGCTGCCCATGAGCATATCTTGCTGGTGGCCAAAGTTAAAGCCATAATGGCGAGGAGTTTCGAAAGGACAGGTGATAAATCTATTGGTTTGGTTTCTAGAAACACAGTGCTTTTGCGTAACTCATGACAATTGCGATTATCTTGGTAAGTAAGTCTCCTTCTCTTTCCCTTTCTCTATTCGTCTTCCACTATCCATGGCCCACTGCTTCCCCTCATTGTAACAACCACTGCTTAAGAGTGTTGGGAAATGGGTGACTCCAAGCCAAGCACCTACACACTGTTAGTCTCATAGGTCCTGTTATTGTAGAGGGAAGCCTTACCAAAGCAGATCTGCTGGGAATGTAGACGTGAGTCCAGTTCTTGCGGTTGTTCCACTCCATGGCAGTGGTGAAGAATCGAGTTCCCTCATCCACCCGCGCGTGACCTCCAAAGTCTTTGGAGTCAGTGTTGAGGATAACCTTGTAAGAGCCGGGCACATCAATGCCGATTCTGTAGTCGGCGAAGCTCTCAGTGGGGTGGAAGTTGAATATGAAGACTACACCAGCCCTCTCAAAAACAATGACCTTGTCGTTCTCGTTCTTGAGAGAGATGTACGCCTGAGGCGCGGCCAACCAGCCGTACTTGCCCTCGGTGGTGTTCATTGCGCGATCAAAGTTGTTCAAAAATTGGTATCGAAGCAAATGATCATCAGTGAGGTTCAGCTGGCGTCTAGCATACCAGAACGAGTTCTGGTTGCCCTCGCGCGGGAAGTCAAGCCATTCAGGATGGCCAAATTCATTGCCCTCAAAGTTCAGGTAGCCTTCGCCGCCGAGTCCGTGGGTCAACAGACGAATCATCTTGTGGAGGGCCATGCCGCGGTCAATAACCGGCGTCAAGGGAGTCAAAGTTGACATGTTCGTGTACATCTCGGCATCGCAAAGATGGAACATGAGGGTTTTGTCACCCACAAGCCTGGTCCCAGTTAGCTTCAAGTGTCGTGAGTTTCGTACAAAGGGGCAGCTTACGCCTGGTCGTGACTTTCAGCATAAGCAATCGTCTTCTCTCCATGTCTCCGGTTCGTCAGAGTGAAGCAGATGTTGCCAATGTCCCAGTTCTCGTCCTTCGTCTCCTTGAGGATCTTGATCCACATATCCGGGACAGCCATGGCGAGTCGGTAATCGAAACCAACACCACCGAGGGAGAGCGGCAGGCAAAGAGCCGGCATACCCGAAACATCCTCAGCGATGGTAATAACTTCCGGATACAATGAGTGCAGCAGTTCGTTCGCGACCATGAGGTAAGCAATCGCCTCCTCATCAGCATCTGGCCCGAAGTACTCGTGGTAACCACCAGAAAATCCGCTATCGTCGTCAGCAAAGAGTTACCCAAAGAGTGTTTTCAGCCATGTCTAGCACTTACGTTCCGATACCGTGGTGCTGGTAGAGCATGCTCGTCACACCGTCGAAACGGAAACCATCGAAGTGGTACTCATCCATCCAGAACCGCAGGTTGCTGAGCAAGAATCTCATGACTTCGTGATGACCGTAATTGAACAGCCTGCTGTCCCACAGCTCGTGGCGGCCACGTCCTCCCTCGTGGAAGTATTGGTGGTCTGTGCCGTCGAATTCGTTGAGTCCATCCAAAACGTTCTTGGAGGCATGGCTGTGAACAACGTCGAGAAGCACAGTGATTCCCATGCTGTGAGCCACGTCGACCAATTCCTTGAGGTCTTCCGGTGGTCCGTAACGACTGCTAGCGGCGAAGAAGTTGTTGATCTGGTACCCAAAGCTGGCATAGTAGGCATGCTCCATAACTGCCATGAGCTGGATAACGTTGTATCCGAGATCTCTGATTCTGGGCAGCATGTTTTGGGTGAACTCCTTGTAAGTTGCAACGCGCAACTCGGGTGATGAGATTCCCACATGAGCCTCATATACGCGTGCGCTGCGAGGCTTTTGTGGCCTCGGGTACTTGAACTCGTACTTTTCTCCCGGAGGAGGATTCCAGAAACGAGCATCATAAGCTGGAGATACGGACAGATCTTGCGTCACGTATTTGATCCACGCAGGGAGTCGGTCGACACGCTCGCCACTGGGGAGTTGCAAGGAGATCTATAATGATGTGAGCCCAACCACGCCTCAGAAATCCTGTGAAATAAGCGTACCTTGACTTTGGAGTTGTGAGGGATTGCAGCCTGGCCATTGTTTGCGGGAAGAGTAATTTCAAAAACTCCGAAGTCATTCTTCTTCATCTCATGTGAGTTCCGGTCCCAATTGTCTGTTGCCACCCAATCAGCGTGTGCCGTTATACTAGATGCGACTCAACTCACTGAAGTCACCAGTCAGGAAAGCCTGAGTGGCGTTGGGTGCCCATTCTCGATAAATGATGTTGTTGTCATGGTCGACATTGAATCCAAAGAGTGAGGTGCCCTATTCACCCAACTTAGCTCTTGGGTGGAAGATACGAGCTCACTTGACCTACCTTGGAGAACTTCTCGAGCCCACCTTCAGTGTCATTGATTTTCTTGATCCAGTCCTGAGCGCGGGAGTAGCGCCTCTTCAAGGATTCCTGAAAAGGCGACAGCCATGGGTCAAGCTTGACAACGCCTGGCATATTTTAGACAATGGCCCTACAAGTAGATATGATTAGGAAGCTTACCAGTGCCGTCGGTTGGGAAGCCATCGGCAGCACCGCTCGGTCCGTTCAGAGCGATGGTATTGGCAGAGTTCTGAGCAACAGCGGCCATGTTGATTGATGACGATGGAGCTTGCGGTGGGAAGACGAAGTTGATGGTGCGGGGCAGAACCGCGGTTGTTTGAGCTGAACTCGATCTAAATAGGGCAGATAGAGCACGTCAGGTGTCGTTCAAAGTTGGTCGGCAATATGAAGCAGGGTAAGGTGAGAGAGAAGGAGGCAGCGAGGGGGTGGATTGGAAGCAATGGAAAGCTCCCCGCACAAAATGTTGAGGTAAGGTGAGGTGAGGTAAGGTATGGTAGAACAGCTATGTGACGGCAGAGCCAAGCAAGTACCTGAGCTAGATGGAGATTTCACGCCTTTCCTAACGTAGGTCGGTAGGGGTCTGGAGCTAAGCAAGGAATGCGCAGATTGGGAGCAATCTCTGCAGGAATTGAGCGAGTCTGGGGTTCTCGATCAAGCGTTGGATGTTGGACTTGATGGAGAGAAGAGGTCGGTCAACGGTGTCGAGAAGGAAGATGCAAGGGAGAGAAATAAACACGGATGATTGCTTTCTTGGACGAATGCCAGTGACAGTTTGTTTGGATTGCCTGATAATTCCCCCGCACTGCCGGGATAAGCTTGGGATGGGTTTAACCTTCCAAACCACAGAACTAAAGATGGGAAGGGAGAGCTCAAGGTATATCAATTGGCGCTGTGCATGATATGACGTCGTGGGGCAACGCAGTTGGGAGCTCGCATCTCGCAAAAGCAGCCCGGTCAGTACACTATGTATGCTAAGGTAGCCAAAAGTATTACCCCATACATCTCGATAGGAGAAGCACCTGGTACCCACGGGGCAAAAGTCCAGGCCTTCCTCTGATCACCTCACTGATGGTTGGTCTGGCTGGTGCGACCAATTCAACGAGAATTGCTGCTCCATCGGAAGTGGCAGGGCGCTAAGGCAAGGTAGGAACGAGAAAAAATATGCTGCCGCCACTCGAAACCCCCTCCCTGGGGATGCCTGTTTGGTGCATCTCAATTCTCAACAACAAAAAATTCACCGGCCGAATCAAAACGGGTTGATGAGCGACCAAGGCGCCGCGCAGCCGATTGGACTCATCGCCACCTCCGGAAGGGTGGCACACCCACAGCGCTCATCCAGTGTGCCAGTTGATCCAGCCTGAGTCCAAGGCGAAAAGGCAACGCTGAAGGTTGAGGCACTTCTTTTAGCGGCTGAAACTCCGCGTTGGTACTTGAATTTGCTCGGCAACCCCGTCTTCTCACTTGATGGACTGATGGAGGCGTCGCTTGCTTGCCGGTTTTTACACCTTGCTCCTTCGAGGTGAGGAAAAGAGGGTAACGTCGATAGGTAATGCCCTCCATCAACCAGTAAGAAGAGGAAGGGGGAGCAGGGGAGACGAGTACGAGTTATCAATATCAGCGTTGGTGGGACCGATATGTCGTTATCGTCGCCAAATGCCATCACCGATACGTCGTGGGCCCTCTGAGAATTGCATGCCAGACGCATAGTGGTGGAGCTTTTCTGCTAACAAGAACTCTGGGGGTGGGCTGGAGGCGCAACTTCGTTGTTTCGGGTGGTTCTCACCAGATGGCCCAGTCGTCCAGCACATTTCTCTGTATATTTCTACATAACGATAGGTATGGCAACTTACATGACTACCTACAGTCAAGAAAAGTACTGTCTAATTCTGTAGACCGACGTTGAATTTCACGGTCCGCATTGGGAAACCGTTAGAGACGGCTGTTTCCAGAACCATCAAAACACCTTTCAGGCTTTTGTTGCTCTCCAATACAATACAAAACTCATTCCCATATCTGTCCACGGATTTTCAATGTGCAGGCTTGTCTCTCAGCTCTGATGGACAGCCGTAGTAACCTATAATGCCAGTTATTTACAGTATTTTGCTAGATGTATTGATAGGCAGCCCAGACTCGGACATGGACATGGGCCACTGTACCTTCGCACCGAGAGCTTGATCGGTCCTACCTGGCTCGATTCCCACTCCCAAATAGGGCAGAATCCAAGATATGCTAGTGATCGCGGCCGGGGTATATCAAGCTAACGCAAGCTTCGATGCAATGGGAATTGACTTTAGGAAGGTGAGCAATCTAGAAACCATTCTCGAACAACGAGCTGATGGGAGCTTTCCCCAGTGTTAGCCGCTCCTAAGCGCTGCTGCGCTGGAGCTCCAGCTCCTCAACCCCGCATCCGGGCCACTGGACCGCCGACAGCTCTGAGCAAGGTCCCTTATCCGGCCTATCTATCGAGCCAGCCACACTCTCACGACATCCCCTCCGGTCACCGGACTCCCCGTCATCATTACCGACATCCCCCAAACACGGAGACCACGACCGATATCGACGAGCTTCACGAATATCACGGCGGCTATCTGATTATGGTCCCTTGACCGGGCACCCACAACAATGGCTCTATCCACGAGGCCGCAGGCCTACACATGCGCACGATGCCTACTCCTCTCGAGCGCTAAGCGTACCTTCTCCGCCTCCTCCGCGGCTCGAACCGCCCCAAGACGTACACAAGATTTCAACTCTGGTTTCACAAGCAGCTATGATCCGACTAGTGATACTGGACGTGGGCCCATGTTCAACAAGAACAACTTCGGAGTTCCGCAGTTCTATCCCCGAGATCTGAAGAAGCGTGTAGACGACTATGTTGTCGGCCAACATCGAGCAAAGAAGACCATCTGCTCCACCATCTTCAACCACTATCAAGGGGTGCGGCGGAGAAGGCACCAGGAACACGAGGAGAAACTCCAGAGAGAAAAGGCCGAGAGGCAACGCTATGCCCGAGACAGAGACATTCTCGAGAGGCGTGACATTCATCCTGTTCAAGGTCAGCGAGGTCGTCAATCTGCCTTCCAGCGCTTCCCTGCTGATGACGAGTGGCCCCAAGATGAGTTCCCTGGTCACGCTGAATCTGCGCAACACCTGGACGAAGGCTATGAGTCGTCCACCGGTTTTGACGGGTCCTATCTTGCAGAGGAACCTGCAACCCCTCCTCCAGTCAAGATAGACAAGAGCAACTTGCTGCTCATCGGCCCCACTGGTGTCGGAAAGACATACATACTAGAGTAGGGTTGTCATGAATACCCTCAATGCCTGCTGAAAGTCTAACATGACATAGAACTCTAAGCAAGAAGCTCAACGTACCGTTCACGATCTCCGATTGCAATGGATTCACACAGGCCGGCTATATTGGACAGGATGTCGAGACATGCGTCGAGAGACTATTGATCGAATCGAACTACGACATCAAAGCTACAGAGCAGGGCATTATTGTCCTGGACGAGTTTGATAAGCTGGCGAAAAGGGAGAGCATGAACGGCCGCGACGTTGGCGGAGAAGGCGTTCAACAAGCCTTACTCAAGCTAGTCGAGGGCTCCAAAGTAACAATCAACGTCAAGGACAACCGCTCTTCACGATCGACACCTCCTATTACAACAAACTATACTTCTTCGAGCTCAACGTCAGCCCCTCAATCGACTCCGCCGCAGGGCAAGGTCGACCAGTACACAATCGACACGACAAACATTCTGTTCGTCTTTTGTGGTGCGTTTGTTGGTCTCGACAAGGTTATTGTACGGAGAGTATCGAAGCCATCCATGGGCTTCGGCTCAGAGCTGAAAGGAAAACATGGCCTCGCCGGCAATCAGCACGACTTACCGCGCCAATCGTTCTCGCATCTGCCGCATGTTGACCCCGAGGCACCGGCATCAGCATACACTCCCTTGGACCTCACAACGCCAGTGGATCTGCAGGCGTTTGGGTTCATTCCCGAACTGATTGGTCGAGTGCACAACATCTGTGCACTTAGCCCTTTATCCCTGAACGATCTTTACAGAATTCTGACTGAGCCGCGCAACTCTCTGGTTGCGCAATACACTGCTCTATTCGAGACATACCCTTCCAAGCTACGCTTCACGCAAAAAGCCTTATATGCAATTGCGGAACGGGCTGCGAAGGCCGAGACTGGAGCTCGAGGCCTTAAGATGGAGATGGAGAGAGTTCTGGCAGAGCCGATTTTCGATGCGCCCATGTCGTACGTCTTGATCACCGAAGGTTGCGTAAAGGGCACTGAGAAAGCTGGATACTGGGGCAAGGACGGCCGTATGGAACTAGAGCGGCGGATGGCCGACGAGGATGCTGAACCTGGATCGCAGCCACACGATGTCACCTTTGAGCAGTATCGCGAAGCTGGCCAGAGTGGCGCATGAGGCGGTCGCAGACAATGACCTCCTGTTATATACATTTCCCCTGCTATGGAGTCCTGGAGTTGGCAAGGTGCTTGAGTTGAGTTAGTCATGCACTGGAATGAGAATAATCATGCATGAAGACTGCTCCTCGTCCGTCGTGAAGTACTTGATGTTTCTGAAAAAAACATTATTGCTGCGGCATCACATCCGTGTAAATACAGATACTATTGAAGTCCTGATAGGTAAACATAACATAAGTGGAGTTGTCAACTAAGGTATAGTAAGAGGTTCAATTGCAGATGTCAAGTTGTCGGCGGAGACACCTCGGCTCGGACGGACATGGCGATGTTCGGAGGGGAGGAAGGGAGTCAGGGACTGAGGCGTGCATGAAAGCTGGCACCTGGGGGCGACGGCTCTCGTCACCCGGGGGATCGGGGACACGTAGGCATTGGGAGCCCGTACCGGAGTCCTTTCTCTTCTTCAGTGCCTGGAGAGCCTGGGAAAGGCAACAAGGCCCCAACATTTGCAAGATTCACCCACAGTCCCCACGCCGAGTGGAATCCTTCAATTCCAGGTTGAAAGGCCGAGTCTGGCAGCTTGAAGCCAGGCCAAAAGAAAAAAAGTTTCCCGTCATTTCCTGAGGGCGAAGCTCCCAAGACGTGCCAGGCTGGGTGCTCCAATTGAACCCGAGCGTGGACCCGGTGTATCCCGGAGAGAGGAGCTCATCCAAATCGAGACTAGCGCAGCGAGGTAATTTTTCCTACCCAGATTCCGGTCACGTGACGCCCCCGAGCAAAGCTCTAACCGACGAAGCGTACATCCCGAGCAAAACTGCTCACTTCCTCCTAAGTCCTCCTCCAACTTTCAACCATCACCTCTCCACTCCCATCCGAAGTCGCCCTTAATCATCTGTGAAGATGTTCAAGAGGTTGGTACCAACTACCTGATCGACTTTTTGAACCATCTCGCGTTCAATTGGCCCCAATTGAGCTAACCGGTCCCTCGCAGCGGCATTTCCTCCTTCGCCCGGGCGGCTCGCCCTTCCTTTGCGGCGACCGCTCCTCGCGCCATCAGACCTTCCACCTTCAGATTCCCTGCCTCCAGCAGATTCGCCAGCACTGCCGGTGTCGGTGATGGAAAGATCTACCAGGTTAGTGATGGCTTCGTTCATCCCTTCCGTTGACCCGAGGGCGATGTCGGTTACTGACAACAACAAACCAACAGGTCATTGGTGCCGTCGTCGACGGTTCGTACTATCCGAAGAAAACCCTTTAAAGGGGTTCGACCATCACGAAATCATCAATACTGACGCGTGGATACAGTCAAGTTCGACACCGCCAAGCTCCCTCCCATTCTGAACGCCCTCGAGACGACAAACAACGACCAGAAGCTGGTTCTTGAGGTCGCGGTACGTACCTTTGGCAGCTGGAAAAATATCCACTGCAAATTAGCAAAAGTCGAGTTTCATCTGACACGTCTGCACAGCAACACTTGGGTGAGAATGTTGTCCGCTGCATTGCCATGGACGGTTCGTATATCCTACCCTGAAAAAGTTTTTCGCGCTCGTACTCACAATCCCCTTAGGTACCGAAGGTCTCGTCCGTGGCCGCCCTGCCACCGACACTGGTGCCCCCATCACCATTCCCGTCGGTCCGGCGACCTTGGGCCGTATCATTAATGTCACTGGTGACCCCATTGACGAGCGTGGCCCCATCAAGACCGAGAAGCGCCTTCCCATTCACACCGAGCCCCCTGCGTTCATCGACCAGTCTACCACCGCCGAGGTTCTCGTCACTGGTATCAAGGTCGTCGATCTTCTCGCTCCCTACGCTCGTGGTGGAAAGATTGGTCTCTTCGGTGGTGCCGGTGTCGGCAAGACCGTCTTCATTCAGGAGTTGATCAACAACATCGCCAAGGCCCACGGTGGTTACTCCGTCTTCACTGGTGTCGGTGAGCGTACCCGTGAGGGTAACGATCTGTACCACGAGATGCAGGAGACTTCCGTCATTCAGCTTGATGGCGAGTCCAAGGTCGCCTTGGTGTTCGGTCAGATGAACGAGCCCCCAGGTGCCCGTGCCCGTGTTGCCCTGACTGGTCTTACCATTGCCGAGTACTTCCGTGACGAGGAGGGACAGGATGGTGAGTTGAGAATCCGCTCTTCTTGACATTGAAATATATGGCTAACAAATCCTCAGTGTTGCTCTTCATTGACAACATTTTCCGTTTCACCCAGGCCGGTTCCGAGGTGTCTGCCCTTCTGGGTCGTATCCCCTCTGCCGTCGGTTACCAGCCCACCCTCGCCATCGACATGGGTGGTATGCAGGAGCGTATTACCACCACCAAGAAGGGTTCCATTACTTCCGTCCAGGCCGTCTACGTCCCTGCTGACGATTTGACTGATCCCGCCCCCGCCACCACCTTCGCTCACTTGGACGCCACCACTGTCTTGTCCCGTGGTATCTCCGAGTTGGGTATCTACCCCGCTGTCGACCCTCTTGACTCCAAGTCTCGTATGCTGGACCCCCGTATTGTCGGCCAGGACCACTACGACACCGCCACCCGCGTCCAGCAGATTCTCCAGGAGTACAAGTCTCTCCAGGATATCATTGCCATTCTTGGTATGGACGAACTTTCTGAGGCTGACAAGCTCACCGTCGAGCGTGCCCGTAAGATCCAGCGTTTCCTGTCCCAGCCCTTCACCGTCGCCCAGGTTTTCACTGGTATCGAGGGTAAGCTGGTCGACCTGAAGGAGACCATTTCCTCCTTCAAGGCCATTCTCTCTGGTGAGGGTGACAACCTTCCCGAGGGTGCCTTCTACATGGTCGGTGACTTCGCCTCGGCCAAGGAGAAGGGTGAGAAGATTCTGGCGGAGTTGGAGAAGAACTAAACGATTCGCGACGAAAATACCAAATGACGTCGAGAGTTGGGGCGTTGAGCCTGTGTATAGAAGAGGAACGATGGAACGGGGAGGTTTCTTAGCTCAATCCAAGTCTCTTTTGTGAGCTGTGTACCAAGAAATCTACTTAATTCCTCTTGTAGTTGAGAGAATCTCCTTATTTCTTCAGCCGTTGTCCCACCATGCAAGTGACTCGCCATGCTTCCCGATTAGTGACATGCTCGTAATTGTATCCCATATAGCTTGTGATTCGTATGCATTTTGTTCCGCTTTTCATCAGATCCAGACAAGCTTTCGGCTTTTCATTGTACAAATGATGATGTCACGTACCCTAGGTTGCCAATCGACGCAACGACACGATCTCTTGCTTCATCTTCATTTCTCGGATGTGGAAAGTCGGGGCCGCTTCACTCTGTCTGCTCCAGGCGCTCGGTCGGCCATACATACATACGCTTCTTGCGGACCGTGGCCAGTTCCTTGTCAATCTGCTGCTGGGAGCCCACCGTCCAGACGAGGCTTCCTTTTATAGGATAAGCGAAAAGTAGGAATTTCCGTATCCTCTTTGACTTACGGACAGTGCCCTTTAATATCATTTAGTCTATTGAGTGTGTTCCAGTCGGAATATTTCTAAGATGATAAAGAGTGTAACTTGGCGGCGGAAATTACTTTAGTATGAGTAAATATTTTATAGTGACGAGTGCCGCCTTCACCTTTGAACCTTCAATGTCCAACGTCATCAAAATACTTGCAGGATACCTCAAGTCCGAACTCGTGGTTCTTGTCGTCTACCTTTTTTTCGAAGTAAGTCGGTATCTGGGTCCATCTAGATGAGAAGCTCTTGAGGTCGAGACAGGTCAGCATTCCAAAGAAGTTGAATGCTGATGCCGATTTTCTCCGTTGCGTCTTGGAAGAGTGTACACCATCCGCCAGCTTATTGCAAGGATAGATAGACATGCATAGGGAGCTGAGTGATTGAGATTACAGACAAACCTTCCATGGGCAAGATGCTGAACTCCTTCGACCTGGCTTGCCACGTTCATCAGACGTCCTAAGCCCATAGTAAGATCAAGAACGGCTGGAAATCACAGCACTCGCATTGCCACACTTTCATTCCCGTCAAAGCATCATACCGGACAAGGCCAGATATTCATGGCTATGGACAGGATGACGTTCAAGGCAAGGAATCTATCTACGTCGAGTTCGTTCAGTCGAATACAAATACGGGTATCAAGAGGAAAACATTGAAGCGATTCAAAAAGAGGCCAGTTGCCCCATATAGATAGATCTATGTTCTAGCTTGGTCTCACAAAGCGGTCGAAAACTGTAGGTCATTCTGCAATAATGCCTCACCTGATACTCGAGTAGTTCATGGGCCGTCTTTTTGCCAGAGGCGACAATGCTCTTCCGCTTATCGCTCATGTTGATGACCAAAATAATGACTGAATCACTCTTAAATTTCTAGAATATGAAATAGCACAGGCCGGCAGTCTTCTCCCCTTTCCCGGTTTAGATGTAATCTAGAGATATTGGGCTGCCTACAATGACATCTCACTCCTGGTCTTCGGATCCAATTTGACAGCCACATGATCAGTTTATCCACCGTTGGTGTGGGCGGCGACATTCTTCCGTCTTACGTTTCTTAGACTCGACTCCTCAGTCTCATTTATGGTCCATTCTGCGCATCTAAATGAATCTGTTCCGGTATATAAAGGGGGATCGATCGCCGTAGGGTGTAGTCTGTCTCCGCCAGGCCGTTGCCGATCCGGCAAAGTCGGACCAGATGAGGCTGGCTGTCTCCAATGACGACGATGATGATGTTGATGATGGTGCTGATGAATTATTTTTAGTTATGATTTACCCCTACCAAAACTCATTCCTCAATCAGATCCATTTCTAATGCGTGGTAAACTCTCGTTCTGAACGTATTCGTGAACGGATACGTCGTGTCCACTCGGGCGAGCCGGATAGAGAAGAAGTTCCGGAACAATGCCTGGAAAACAAAAGAATCTCATCATGGATTTTCCCAAGTGAATAAAAGGTCCATCCGTCATTGTCTCCTTGCGAACCCAGTCGCTCTGCCACATGATCCAAGGCAACACCGAAGAAGATTGCCGCCGTATCCCACTCAGCCCGTTCAATCGTTACGCTCTTATTCAAGCCTTCTAGGAGCCTTTATTCACGTGATTGAACGGATTACATCGTACCTAATTTGGCGAGCCTGATGGAAAGGAGGAAAAGCTGCTGCAATGCACCATGCGTGGAAGAGGAAGATATCCCATATTATTTCATGAACTAAACAGGTCCAAACTGTATTACACAGAGTCCACCTCACGGACATCTGGCAGTCGATGACTTGCTCCGAGGCCCATTGTCCCTTGTGTAGGATCTCATGTTCAATTAACTAGCGTTCTTATTCTTATACTTTATCAAGAGTCTTATACGTATGAAATTGCTACTGTTATGTTGGGGAAGGGTTCACTCCTTCTTTTTTCTTAAATGTTTTTACGTTCTTGAAATCTGAAGTGACGCTTTCCCATGCCCGGTCAGCATGTGCGTGAAAGAGAATCAGTGGTCACGACTATCCACAGTTTATTCTTTACACATAGGGTTATTGGTGAAGTGAAGGGGGGTCCCATCAAGTTGCGTTCACCGATGGTGGCTTGTTTACGGTGTCTATGTGTGGCAGCCGGCCAAATTAATAGGAGAGGATCAGGGGCTCTGCCGGTTGTTTTCTGTCCCCAGTGAGCTTCGCATAAATAGAGGTGAGTAAGTGATTCGTACTGAACAGGTGATCTCTTCAAGCAACCAACTTGCATTTGTCTTGATCTCACACTGGTGTTCAGTCTTGATCTTGGTCTTTGAGGAGCGGCTAAAACTGAAAGAAAGACAAGATACCACCAACTGGATGGTTCAAAGTAGGAAGCTGCCGTTCAAGAGTGCCGGTCACTCGTGAAGCTATTGTACGCTCATGTACCAGGGTTTCAATACAGGAGAAAAGTAAAAGGAGAAGAGGAGGAAGCATACAAAGGCAAGTCCATCTAAAATCTTGGGAAGAAGTTTCCCACAGGATTAAGATCTGAATCTGCATGGAACACATGCTTGGCTCCAGGAAGGAGGTGAGTGTTGTTGTATTGCTTGCCTCCTCCTGTAGCAAGGTCTTTGCAGTGAGTTTCCATTCGTAGATTAGCATCAAATCATGTAGTTTCCATTTATGCAAATATGTACTGATATGGCTTGTCAACATCACATTCATTCAACCACATCGTAGTTACCATGCTGATGCCATGTAGGGTAGTTGTTTTTTTACTTCTCCCAGAACAGTCTGTCCACTAGGCAACCTCCAGACTATGCATGGTCTAGATATACAATCCATTACCTTGCAGTTGAAGGTACGAACGGTACATCTTCTAGCAACTGAGCTCTGGTCCGTGTTGACATGTCATCAATAGCAAACCAATATATTAAACCCATGTTATGCACCAAGAGAACCGTGTTCATTAACGTGACACGCTGCCACCGACTGTCCAACTACTGAATTGAATGGGTATCTGTCGCAAGAACAACTTTCCCGTCCCATGCAGTCACCAACCCATGGAACCTCCAATATCAAGCCCTTTTTGTGCCTTCGAAATGCCTATTGGGGAAAGATCATCCGTATTAAATCTCCTTTCATCATAATCATCATCCTTCGTAAAGAAGAAGCCTGCACAATGCCAACGCCTTTCCCATTTATGTGCCGTTGTTACCCCCATTGGCGGAGCCAGTGGAGGCGGTATGGTGATGCCCAAGACCCAGGACTCTTTGGAGGCTCTTCCTAATACCCTTCCCCGTGCCGTCGTCCTGAGCCTCAGATGTCTTTTCGCCTCTGCCCAAAAAGCCGAAGCTCATCCTACGAGTGGGATTCGGGCCTTGCCCGTCCGTCACTGACTTCTTCCGCCGCCGTACGGCCACAATACCGGGCTCTGCAGCTGAGGGCTTCGGTGGCCACTCGCCGTCCCGCTTCCAGCCAACCACGCACGCCCGGATCATGTCTGACAAGTTGACGGGACAGGAGGGTGTCAGTGCGTGGACTATCACCTTCTCATACAAGGAAATGTACACGGAGGGAGTAATAGATGCGCGCATTGGGTTACCCGGTGGGAGCAGTGGCGCTGGAACAGGAATGAGTGTCTCGACGGGGTATGTCGTTGACGTGGGAGATGCCGTCGACTTTTGAGACTCTTTGGACTTGATCGCGGTGAGTTCCTTGGACGGGTCCTTTGAGAGCTCAGAGCCGTCTGATACAGCGGCCGAGGCTTCGTTGCTCACCCGCTGTTGCAGAGAGTGCGCAGGCGACGCTGGTGAGGCGGGAGCGGGCTGAGGGTGAGAGAATGAGGTGCGAAAGAAGAGGCGGCGTGGGGAGAGAGGGGAGAACGTCTGCGTAGGAGAAACGGGCTTTGTGCGAACGCGCACCGTTCTTGCGCCTGTCCAGGCATTGCGCCTTGCCTCGAAGCAAGCCAACCCTTCATTCCATTCCATCTCCTCGCGCAGGGCTCGCCGTCTCCGCGCACGCTTGTCTGCTATAGACGCCTTGACTGTCGCGCCGATTGCATCGGGGCTGTCGAAACGGAAAGGAGAGAGAGACAGGGGAGGATCTTCGTCGGACAGATCAGACACCCATTCTAGGCGAGGCTTGAAACGCGCCGCGTCTTCTGAGACGGTGCTGTAGACAGACTCAGCGTCGTTATCTTCCTCTTCGTCGTCGTCGTCTTCTTCACTGTCTGTTGTGTGGATGGCTTCATCATTCGAGGTCGCCGTAGCTTCGACCTTCGGTTCAGAAGTTTCTTGTTGCGGTTTCTCGGCGGTGTCCTGTTCGGGTGTTGCACTAACATCGGGTGTAGCATCGCCGTTTTGGGGTTGGGGTACGACTGGTGGCCAGACGAATTCCCAATCGTTGCGAATCTTGGCGGTCAAGTACTTCTTGACAGCTGCCTTTTGCTTTTCTTTGTCCTTGCTAAGCAGATCAGGATCGTAGTCGGGCAAGTCCAAGGCCAAAGGCTGTTGTGACATGGACAGACGGAACTTGGCCAGCGGTGAGCGTGGAGACTTGTACATGTCTGAGAAGAGCATCTTGGAGTTCGAGGAGGAAGGGTGTGGATTTGGCTTTGACGGGGGGTTGGCCGACGGCGCAGCTGACGACGGAGGAGAAGCAGGAGGCATGAGAGGCGAGTCGAGGGACGAGGGAGCGGGTGCCGTCCGCTTTATATGAAGGGCAAGTGAAGCTCCGGGCAGGGTTGCCGCGGGCGTAGGAGTAGCAGTAGCAGCTAATGCTGGCGGCGTAGCAGCAGCAGCCGCAGCCGTCTCCGTTGCAGTCGCGTGCGGGGTGGGCTGGTGGTGCGGGTGAGGGTGATGGAGCTGGGGCGCGCCGACGTCTGGATCTGGGACCGGGACCAGGACTGGGACTGGGGTGGTGGTCGCGGCCGCGGGTGGCCTGATGTTGGTTTCCAAGGGGGCTGGACTGTCAGTTATATCAATCCTGTCATGTACCGGTATATGGCCTGTACGCTGTTTTGGTTTTGTGCAACACGACACTCATAAGTCATGCAACATGCACCGCATCCAGGGTGTCGTGAACAAAATGAAAACGGGGTAAAGGAAGAAGAAGAAGGGGGGTCGTGTTGGAGTAGTGTGAGCCACTGTCTGGCATCGTGTGCGAATAGGTAGGTATTAGAGTCAAGTGTCGGCGGGCAAGCCAAGATGGTCCAGACCCTTGCTCAGTCTACCACCTATTCCACTTCTGTCTCTGTTGGGCCAATTTTGGGGGGAGGCACATGGGAATAGATATAGAAAAAAAGGTGGAGGATGGACAAGTGAAGAAAGGGCCAGGCTACACCAGGCAATCGGACTTGATGCCTGTACTGTATAGTACGTGTACCTAGTAGCGCATGTTATGAAAGAGAAGGTCGAGGAGAGGAGGCAGAAGGTGCCAGGACCATCTCGGTTTAGCGTCCTGTGTCTCGTGCACTCACCTTGATTTGACGAAAGAGGAGCGGTGACTTCGTCGCCGCTGGGAGCAGAAGCAGTAGGAGCTGCAGCAGCAATAGTAGAATCAGAAGCAGACGCAGATGCAGACGTAAGGTGGTGGTGATCTTGTTGGCTGGGCATAGATGTAGCAGTGGATGGCGCCTCAGCGTGCGAGGAAGGTAACGGCATGGTTTATGAATGAAGAGGATCGACCAGCCCGAGTATTCGCACTCCTAACACACGTGTACGAGACGAGTAGGGGGGGAGGAGGAGCAGGGCGTTCCAGGGTCCAACAAGGCATGAAGTTCGTTCGGGCAAACAAAAAAAGTCAGAAAAGAAGCGAAAGGCAATTCTGACTCTATTTCTTGCGTCTTACGCTAGTTGGGAAAAGCACATCCGCCAGGGCCAATTTTTCCTTCCTTCCCAAAGCTTAAGAAAAGGTGGGCAGGGATCCATCATAAGGTAGGTACACTACCTTACGGCGTACGCAGTATCCGTACTTGACTACTCAGTATGGGTACATCCACCAAGCAACACAAAAGTTCAATGTCACCACCTCAGTTGACAGTTGCACTTGCACTCGCCCCTGGATTTGTGCCTGTCAGCAAGTGCCACCTCTATCTAAGGTAGGTGTACGTTCCGCGGTATTATCCAATATCGCAAAAAAAGTCACCTTGAGCCGGCCTGCCTGCCTATGATAGTACAACATGCGAACTCACTCTGAAGGTTGGCCTTGCGCTTTCGATGGTAACTTGGTAAGGACCTGGAAAGTGGGGAGACTAGAGACAGGATTTTTGGTGTGATTGTCCACGCGACATGGCCTCTGCAAAAGTTTGCCCTCCTAGAGTGACATCGCCATCGGCATCGGATCCGAGCTCACCTCTCATCTCACAGAAATCGATGCCACTTGGAAAACCTCGTCGGTCAGCTGTCCCAGCCTGGCAAGCCTGGACTTTTTTCTTCTTCTCTCGCCCCGTCGGTATCGCGTTCCTTTCACTCCCTAGCACCTCTGCCTACGCAGTAGAGTCCGAGAAAGAGGGTCCTCCAGCTTGAGGCCGTCTCCAAGCTAGGAGACTGTCATTGGCTTGGCATGACAAGCCAAAAGGACGGAAGGATCCTGTGGCCCCAGCAGCAGCTTCTGGCGAGCTGGAGCGTGCCATGGAGTTTGCTTGATTGCTCGATATCTTTGGAAGCTTCCATTGCCTGCGGCTTGCTGACTTGCCAATCTCCTTGAGTTTGCCAAGCTGGTTCGCTGCTTGATTTCTCGCTCCTGTTCACCGTCCGGTAAGCTCGACCCCGTGTTGTAACCTGTAATACCTTAGGTAGGTCTCAATCAACCCCCGTCCCGGCTTCTTGCAGGTGCAGATCCGGGGTGTGGTTGGCTCCCTGAACCACGAAAGAAACATGAACACCCCAGACGCGGAGAGCTGCAGTCGACCACCACCTCAGTATTGGATCCAGTACCAGAGCAATTTACCGAGGTAGGTGCTCCTGTAGGCTGTTCGGTATACCAGTCATGGAAAGGGATGTAAGCTTGCTGACAGCAAGAAACAGAGTTCATCTCCAACCGAGAGAGAGTGAACACCCCCGGCCGGTGAATCATGACGTTGAATATTTCTAACCCATCAGAATCATTCAACGGCAGCGTTCGACGGTTGAAATCACAACCCCATATTTTTTCTTCCCCCAGATCCGCTTCAACGTGCGCGCCCATTTTTTTCTTTCGGACATCGCACCACTCGCACATATCGGCAATGAGGCTCGGGGGATGATTGTACAAGCAAGCGACACACTCCGTCTATCAGACCAAGTAGAGAGGAAAGCAAGCTACCTACTCAAGCTTTGTCCAAGATCGTTACCCTACTTGGCTTCCATCTGCCTAGCAGACTCGGTGCTTGGAACACACCCGTGGACAACAATTAACGCTCGACAAAAACCTCGGTCCAGAGTCTTTACTACCAGACTACCTATGTATCCGTTACTGTCTCTGCGGAGAAGCAAGCTGCAATTGCTTCCACTCCTTCAGGCAAGGTCTGAGGCGGGGGAGAGACACCACATGACTGACGCCTTCTCACTTCTGCAAGGATCTCCCACCAATGTGATTATATAAGCCAGCGACTGCTCCACGGGGATGCTCCGTAGCGTGGTAAGGATCGTCGCTTGTCGCATCACCCCACAGCTGAACCGCTCATATGTTGAGGTACCGGATTGACGACAGACCAGACGGCCAGCTCCGAAGCTGAAGGGTCTTGTGTATTCCGTGATTTGCAATCAGTGAGCTGACGTCTTCGCAGGATTCCCCAAATTGCATGCTTTTGGGGATAAGGCTGAAGCAATCGAGTGCTGGTCATGTATGCACATTTTGGGGGGGAAAGTCTAGATCCGTTACTTGGTTTTAAGCTACTCCTGACTATGTGTACTGTAAAATGATGCCAATTTTCACCCAGCGCCGCCCACTGCCCCCGAACGACACCTTTTGACGGGGGAGGTAAACTACCATCTGCATTTCAGGTGTCTCGTAACTCGAATGCAGCTTGTGATGTTCCCTGAAGTAAGAGAAGTCAAGCAGCAAGAAAGGGGTTAACGCATCCGTCTCTCTATGCGACTTCCTCAACCATCTTGCCGGATTTCAGACCTGGAGGTCCAAACACCTTGCCAGTCGGTCCTCCGATGATCTCCTCGGGCACAGCAACGATGCTGCCCTTCTTGGAGTTAACCCAGCGGACAAAGGCGACATCGGGCTTCGATGAGTCGCCGCCGGGTGTGTCCTCACCATTGGCTCCCTTGCCTTTGGTCTTGGGCGCCTGCTTCTTCAAAAGCTTGTTGATGGTTTCCATCTGTTGTCTGGCACTTAGCATACGTCCTGTAAATGACCAGTTATCCGCAGATAGGGAGATACTTGCCTTGACTTCTTCGTTACGCTTATCAGACAGGTTGCGCCGTCGACGTGCCATTTCTGCCCTTCTCATCGATAACTCCTCAGCAGTGAAGACCTTCTTTGCTTGGACCTCTGTTGTGATTCCATGTCAGTGTTCTGCTTTTCGTCAAGACCCCTCGCAAAACAACGCATTCTTACCGTCTGAGAGTTTCATGTACTGCTGAGGCTCGTCCTCGAAGCGAGCCCGCTGTCTCCTCGTCATCTTGGTCAAATCGGGCGTACCCTCACGACTGCCCAGGTCGCTGTCGAGCTCGCCTTCGGCATCCGCTCCCACAGTCTCGTCCGCGACTTCAATCTCCTCTTCCTCCTCGCCCTCGGCGTCTTCTTCTTCGCCTTCGGCATCTTCCTCTTCACCTTCAGCATCCTCTTCTTCGTCTTCCTCGTCCTCGTCGTCCTCATCATCATCGTCGCCGGCACCCCCAACGTCGATGCTCATGTTCATCGTGTTCTCAGGGTCACTAACTTCAATCTCGCTAAGCTCCTCCTCGTCATCGTCATCGTCCTCAATCACTCTCGCCGCTGCTGGTCGTCGAGGCGTGACCTTTCCAGCCTTGGGCAAGGAGATCTTGATGGTGGGGGCCGCAGGGGTGTCCATGTCGATGTCGCCATCGGCATCTTCCTCCTCGCCCTCGGCGTCGACTTCCATGTCGTCGTCATCGCCATCAGCATCAGGCTCCTCCATTTCCTCGTCTTCGTCTTCCTCATCCTCATCGCTATCGGATTCTACAACGTAGCTCTTCTTCGGGCCACGGTTGCGTCTGCCGGCAACGACCTCGCTGTTGACCGAAATGCTATTTCCCGTCGAGTTCCGCCCCCTGCTGGTGGCCTCGCGAAGCTTGTTCGCGGGCACTTTGACAGTGAGGTTCAGATGCTCACTTCCTGGTGACGAAGGCGGGCCGCGGGATACGCCCGAGGTCCGGCCATCTGAGCGGCGAGCACGGGTAGACATGCTGCTGGTTCGCTCGCTATCGGCCCAGTCAGTAATCTGTTCTTGCGCCTTCTTGGCCGCCGAGCGGCGCGGTCGCGAAGCCATGTCTTGGGTATATGCGAAAGCTGATCTCTCTCGTGGGTTGTCTTGGCAGGAGAACAATGACGCGCAAGGGGATTACGCCACGTATGAGTGGTTTATGTACGGAATGAAGATGGGATATCTCGGGGTGAAAAGGTTTAGGGTGGTTTCGGGATAATGGTGGGGGAGTTTTTTATCCAAGATTGGACGCGGGAGGTTGAATTAAGGTAAGCTCGGGGGCCGGTCCAGACAAGGAAAAGGAAGGGGAAGGGGAAAGGGAAAGGTGAGGTGGCACTGCTGCTAGGGAATCTGATCCCTTGATACGGGAGATGAGGTAAGGCAGTCAATGTAGTTGGCCGAGATGCAACTTTAGCCCAGGTAGGTTTCAACGCCTTCTCTTCTTAATGAATCGCATACGCACGCGCGGGGCGCCTTTTTCGGTTTCTTGTTAAACCACCCGGGGACTCGCCAGTCTCGACACGGCCACTTTCCAACAAGACTATGTCGTGGAACCAAATCGGATTCGCAGAGTGAACACAACCCCGGCCGATATAGTCTCTCTTTCTTCTTAGAGATGTTGGATTGCGTATCGATATCGCTGCGGTTTGCCTCACTTGACTTGGCAGAGCAATCCGACGATGTTGATATTGTGATTTGAAGGAGGAGAGAGACAAGCACGAGGTGAGGGTTGATGCAGGTGCAGTGTGTAGATGTGACGGGGTGACAAGGAAAAAGCTAAAAGGAAGAGGTCGCATCTGCGATGGGATTTTGAGCTTACCGATTGATTGATACCTTACGGAGGATAGACGACGCTTAGCCGCAGCAAGCAAGATGGGCGCGCGCAAACAGGCGGACGGCAAGTGGGATGGATAATCGCCTTTTTGGTGGCCTATCGCCCTCACAACTGGATACCGGGCACAGAGCAACCTTGCTGGGACGGTTTTGGTGGCTGTGGCCAAGCCAAGCCGCAGAAGGCAGAAAAAAAAAAGTGAACCCCCTGGAAAATGGGAACTGAGACTTTTGGGATCGATTGGATCTTGTCGCCTCCTGAGTACGTGCTGCAGCTGTCGCTTCTTCTCTTTCTTTGCTTTCCTGCGTTTCTTTCGTGTGACGCTTGGTTTCTCAACCCCTGGCGCTTGAGCTTTCGTTCCTATCCCCCTTTACTTAGCGAGTCCACTCCCAATTGTCTCCTGCCCATGTGGTACACGGTAAGATGAGCAATTGGCCCGGTGAGAGCTTACCTTGATCCTTGGTCGCGCGGCGAGGTGTGTCGGTGAAGGCGGCCCAGTTGAAGAGACGGTTGGAGATCGTCGGTGACCACGCGAATCGGATGGTTCCGATTGAGAGCCTTTGCTGGCTTGAAACAGGAGTGAACCTGGTACGGAGTACACCTTGAAGGGATTTTCGAGGCGGGCGAGAGATGGATAACGATTGCTATAGTTGAGACGGATTCTCAATGAGAATGCTTGTGCTGGTCCGGTTGCTACTCACCTTGAGTTCAGCCTTTCACCAGAGCACTGAAGTCCGCTGAAGCGCGCCCGGATGTCGAAAACGGAAGCCCCGTTTTTGGGGTGGTCGCCATGGGCACCATGCATTGGGCCCAGCACCGTGTAGAACTGAAGGGCCCCAGCGAATGGCCGTTATCCAACGTGCTGGAACAGTGACCCCCGTAAAGAACGTCCAGCCTCTTCCGTTTCCCGCTTCCCCAGCCGAGGCATGTGGTCATAGGTGCCGAACCGCCGACCCCATCAATATCCCGCCCTCCGGACCAGTGCCCGACTCATACGCGATTCAATATTGCGCCAAAATCCACGGCTCTCATAGACACGTTTTTGCAAATCTCCTACTACAACAGGGCGCAATTACTTAACTCTGACCATGAGCGACTCCGACGACAGCGGCAGCACGCCCGGTATCCCGTCATGGCAGCGCGGCCAAAAGAAAGAACCCGAACTCGAGCCGGAGACCACCACCTCGCAGGATGCGAAGCGGGACGACGTCCCCTCCCGCGATGACAGCCTCGAAGTCGCCCGCAAGTTCCTGCAGGACGACGAGATCAAGGACGCGCCGAGGGAAGCAAAGGAGTCGTTCCTCAAGACCAAAGGCATCTCGCCAGAGGATATAGAGCGGCTGTTGGGTAGCTCGGCATCTGAGCCGGCGCAAGAGGTATGCTTCCCAGTTTCGCTTTTGCCTCGATTCATGGATCTCTTATGACTGACGACATGAATACAGATCACTCAACCAGGACAGTCACCGCAAAGCTCAAGTCAAGTAACAACAGCATCACCAGCACCAGAACACACAACACCATCACAGACACACTCTACACCCTCACCCTCACCACAACCGCAAAACGAAATCTCCTTCCCCCGCCAAACAGACCAACCCCCCGTGATAACCTACCCCGAGTTCCTCACGAAACCGACCCGCCCCCCGCCGCTCGTCACCGCAAACGGCATCCTCAACACCCTCTACGCCTTCGCCGGTATCTCCACCCTCCTCTACGGCACGAGCAAGTACCTCGTCCAGCCCATGGTCGAGAACCTCACCGAAGCCCGCTACGACCTCCACGAGACAACCTCCCAGAACCTCGCAAAGATAATCGAGAAGCTCGAGGGCACCGTCTCCGAAATCCCCGCTCCCAAGAAATCTGCCGCGGCGGCCGCAGCAGCAGCAGCAGAGGGCGCAGCAGACGACGACGCGAGCAGCGCAGACGACCCGACCGAAATGTTCCACCGCGATATCGGCACGCAGACATCGATTCCTTCCACGCCCTCCTTGACGACCTGGGGAGAGAACAAGAACAGCAACAGCGACAAGGAAAAGTCCCCGACGGACAGACAGGCCGACAAGCTGACGTGGTTCAAGAACCAGGCCGCCTGGCTCAAGACCACGGTCGTCGCCGACGCCGACGACGTGGCGGACCTGAAGTCGAAAATGGACGTGCTCAAGGACGACCTCGTGCAGCTGGCGTACCCGAGCCCGTCCGACTACGCCGGGAGCAGCTACTCGCTGTACGGCGGCCCGCGCAAGAACGAGCCCGAGGACGAGATCAAGAAGGCGAGGGATAATATTCGGAGGGTCAAGGGGGTGTTGCTCAGCACGAGGAATTTCCCTGCTTCCGCGAGGTGATTTTTTCCCCCACCCCTTTGGTGGATAGATGGATCTTTTTTTTTTTTCATCAAAAATGCCTTTGGGACACCGGGCCGGGGGGTTATTTATGAGGATGAGAAAAATATGTATCATATTAGTGAAAGCTTATAATGGAACTGAGCGACTTTTATTTACTATTGCTGGATACGTTTGGCGCTGGGAATTGTTCAATATGGCCGGCGGTGCATTTTATTGACGCCCATGCCTGAAGGAGGCGAAGACAGCCTTACATGCTTCCTTCACTCGCAGTACACGTATAAGGATGAACTGAAGTTGCCATCTGCATGAGGGGGTTGGAACTCCTTAGTTTCCTATCTCATCCATGTCATACGCAGACTTGAATGTCTAACATATCCTTTCCATGCCATGCCTGCTCAAATGCAATAATCACACAGTCCCTCAAATCCGGAATTGCTTTACCTCAGGTAACTGGTGATGATACTCCGAAATTTGATCCCTCTGATTCGCCATCGCACGGCTGAATCCGTCTGCACGAGACTACCCCTTCCTTTCTGGTTTTCTTCTTTCACTTTTTGCCGCTCTCTTGCGACTCCGCCTTGCTCTTCTCGGCGGGCAACCTGAGGACTTCAAACACCCGCTGCCAAGAAGCAATGTTGAGGTGCTCAAAATGCCGGTTCTCGGCAACCTGCTGCTGGTACCACTCGGTGGTCGGTCTGAACGTGTAAGGCCACGCGGGACGAGGATTTTGTCTGTCAATGTTCATCACCCAGGAGTAGAACAAATTCTCACATCTGCTCTGTCCTGTCGGATTGATGGCCCTGGGCGGGTGGAAGATGATCTTGCTCTCGCTGCCATGATTTCGATGACCCCCAATCATGTCAATATCCATTGAAGAGTCTGCAGGATGACGCCCTTGCCCGATGGGCGCATCGCCGGGACAAATCTTGCGGAAACCCCTGCGGAGTAATAATTTATCAACCGCTGGAAGATGTTGCTTGCAGTCCGACATCATCACGTCCAAGTTATGAAACGTGATGTCGACTGGCAAGGTATAGTCTGAAGTCTGTGTTTCGAATCCACCATACCAGACCTCTAGCAGAGGAAGGCCCCGATGTTTGTCTTCAGATCGTTCCCGTACCATCTGGATAAGGTGCTGCTGTGCCTGCAAGAGTTGGGACTCGTAGATCTCGCTCGCTGTGGAACATCGATTCTTGGCCGCGATGTCCCATATGAAAAGCTCGGTTCCTTTCCAAGGCGCATGAGGTTCACGAACCCGCCAAATCGCAAGCCAGGGATGACGCGGTGGCGGTTTGCTTGCATGATCGTCTTCAGGAGTGTAAAAAAAGGCGAAGTAGGTGTTGAATGTCGGCGGCAAATGAAAGGGTGCCGCAGGTTGCTTGAAACGCTCCTGGTAGGATGAGAAGAACGGCCAGGGCCACTCCATCCACTTCTCGAAAGTTGAAAAGTCGCGATGGAAGTCTCCATAAGAGTCAGCTGTATTGGCAACGTCTTCGTAATAGGAGACGGCAAAGCCGAAGAGCTTCCCAAATGGACACACTTTCGGACGTTCGTTGCGAGTGCCAATTGCCTTCAACTTGCTCATGAAGTGGTGGCCAGACAAGCCCTCAAGAGGTTTACTACCTCCACTTTCTGGTCCAGGATTATTGTCGGAACCTGACATGGTCTGACGGGGACCATGAACATCGGGGTTTGGTTCGGCTCCAAAATCGCGCCCAACCCCAGGCGGGTATATGGGAATGTCGCCGTCTTTGATGAGGTGGCTGTTGTCAGAAGTGCCATCTGTTCCTAAAACGTGGAACTTGCGGAACTGGTCGAAACGAGTTTGGGACCAACAGCCGAACCAATTCACCAAGCTTTGCTCGTCATTGGCATCGATAGATCCGTCAGCAAAGACAATGGCCTCAAGCTGCTCATCCGGCACAATGGTTGTCTCTATAGCCGACTGAAGGCCTTCCACTATCGCCCATGTCTCAAATCGAGCTGTGCAATCTTCTTTGCTCAATCCTGCAACTCGTGCTATATCCTCGCGCTTCGACGTTGACCACCGGCGCGTTAGGTCACCATCCGCCATCAAGTCGTCCCGGCGGGCGGACCGCTCATGCGCAAGATCGCGCAGATACTCACGCAGGCTCGCCGCCGCCACAATCTTTTGGTTATTATTGGGCTTCTGATAGGTCCTATGGTACCACTGAAAGAGTTGGAAGGCACGGCGTGGTTCAGAGACCAGAAAACTTGGCGTAACCAAAATTGCGTTACCGTGTGGGAAAAACCTCGTCAACTCAAATGTGCCCAGCTTTGGCATCTCGTTGTACATAGACCGAATGGATGGGTACGCGGGAGACAGCTGGAGTGACTCTCCAATGCACCAAAAGACGTAAGTTGCACTGCTCTTGTGCAAAAGCAGCTTGAGCAAACCAGGAAACCGTCGGAGCGAATCGGCGGCTGCCTCGTGAATAATGATAACTCCTTGCGTAACAATTTTCGGGTTGGTAAAGGCGGCCCAGTCGCCACCCGTTTTAGTTGAGAATATCCTACATTCGGGATTCTCTGAGCGCAGCCATTCGCTCACGGCCTCAAGTAACAGCACCCTAGATGGAGGAAACGCCAGGTAGAAATTGTGGCGTACATTTCGAATGCCAGGGGGTAGCATCGTATGGTAATCGAGGCGTAAGAGATCGCGAAAAATGGCAATCCGTGAAGCTATCTTTGAAGTGTTGACCTGTCTGATCGGCAAAGGCTTCTTAATAGCCGGCTGTGGCTTGAAAATGACATATGTCAGGGAGACGTTTGCCGGGCTGTTGGCTTCGACTTCAGGCATTGTTTGCTTCCAATCCTCACACTCCGATGGGTAGATGATGATGAGAAAGTCTTCATAGAAGCACGCAATCCCAAACGACCCTGATCGTAATCGCTCTGCTGCTCTCTCTACAGCAGCTTGGTCGTTGTTTGACTTGGGCCTGACGCTTCCATTTGAGAGTACTCGTTCAACAACAATTGCCCTTTGAGAGGCAAAGGTTTTCGCTGTGAAATTTCTGGCGAAATGCAGCTGTTTCTCGTCAACAAATTGAGAATGCCATGCGTCAGAGTCGGCTCTAACGTTATCAAATGTCATTTCGATGTCTTTGCTTCCCTGAGGACCGAAGACGACAGTTTTGTCGTAGTTTTGGCCTGTGCATCTCGACTTGTAGTCTGTTATTGATAACTTGCGAAGGATAGACTGAGGCTTAGCAGGCGGTTGAGTAGACTGTGATGGATCTGAAGGCATTGGGGGCGACTTGAGTCTTTTCGGCCGAGCAGTCGGATAGTCCACGTCCATCTCTTCTGGCTCATCGACAAGCGGAACATCTGCAAACTGTACAGACTTCCTTTTCTTGGTCGTTGGCTGAGTAGTCTGCGACTGACCCAGGTTTTGAGGGTGTGACGCCCCTGTCCTCTCCGACGTCGTCATACTGGACTCACTGGCTGATCTCGTCGAGAGATCATCGACTGAGCGCTTCAGTACGGACCGAGGGATGCAAGCGGTGGTGCTGGTGCTCGAGACGGTGTTCGTACCGGTAGTGGTTCCAGGAGGAGGCCCGCGGCTGATGCTGAATAACTTCGTTGGGACAGCCGCGGGAGCCACGTCCGCTTTCTCACGACCTTGTAACTCGGCTTTTCTCCTGAGTCGGTGATTTGAGAACAGACGAGCATCCTTGGTGGGATCGGCCACGTTCTGTACAAGTTGACGGCGCTGCTTTGATTGCTTGCCGGCCGCAAAGACATTGATGCCCGTTCCGCTGTTCTGTGATCTAACCATCGTTCTGGAGCTCACAACAGTCTTTTTGGCCTTGTGTGTGGTCTGCGAATTCGCACTACCCACCGGCAACCGGCTGATTGTCGCATTATTGACTCCTCTGTTCGGCAGAGGCTTCTTCTTTGCTGTTCCTTGATATCCAGTCGCCGCTGCCTGCGCCGAAGGTGGCTGTGAGCGTGGCTGAGGGCTAGAGCTGGATTGTGCCTTTCTCGTTGGTGACTTTAGTTTCTCTGTCGCTGAAGTCCGTTTCTGGGAGATTGGTTTCTCTGCAACGTCCTGCTTAGGGGCGATCTTGGAGGGTTGAGTATCAGAATGAAACGCATCCTCGTTTCGCCCCACAACCTTTGGAGGGGGGAATACGGCGTTAAACTCATCCTCCCCAACGTCGTCGTCGCTAAGATAGTAGTCCGCTTTGGTTTCACCCTCCCACAGCCTAAGCTGGATACCTCGTTTTTTCCGTTCAACATTGCGCTGGTGATGCCGCTGGTATTTTTCCTCTTGACGCTTGACCACGCTTTCTTGCCAGGCGAGAATGTCGAACGGCTTCTCCTCTCCGCAAGCTTGCTTTGCTTGGGTGTCTTTCCATTCCCCAAGTAGCTCATCCGTCACGTTTTCCTCAGGCTCCCATGTTGCCTCTTCAATGGGGTAACCGGTCCACTCTACCAAAAATTTGTCTCTTCCACCTTCGCGACTTTGAGCGCGGATACCCTCTACCAGCCATTCCTCATCGGAATCATGTTCGGACGCGAGGGTGGAGTTGATGGAGATGTTGTCGTCGTCAGGTTGCTTATCACCGGCGACGAAAAGCCCGGAAACGTCCATGACACGCTTATACTCTGGAGAACATATCCAGAAGGCACGCTGGAAGGAATACGCTATGAACGTATGTGTAATCTGTTGCCACAGGTATTCGACGCACCAGAGGTGGACGCACTCAGATGACGGTGTGAGTGTTGATACACCGGGTAGCAGGCCTCAGTGAATGCAACCGCACGCTGTACTAGAGTATAGAGAGGAACCTCTAATGCTCAAAGGGCAGTGCTATTCGGGCGAGGGCTGAGAACTGTTGATGAGGCAAAGAGGATGGAGCTCTGGTTCATGAATTCCAATGCAGTTTATATGAACTAGTAAATGGTGAGCGACGAGTTTCTTCAGGCGAGATAATGAAGACTGACCGGCGGGACAGATTGCGTCCCTACTCGTCAGGTACCAAAGGTCAATCAAGACTTTGGAGATGGAGATGGAGAGGGGCGGGGAAGGTGGAAGGTGGAAGTTTTGTACAAGATAAATCAGGTATGTACCGAATTGCTTTCCTGAAATTGGGAGCGAAAAGTGACGATTCAATATCGAAGATGCACCAGGGCGGTGGGAGAGCGTTTACATGCATGTCACCACAGCGTGGGCAGGTACGGAGGGCATCCCGTCGTGCCTTTGGGGAGGTGCCATGGGATAGTGTCCGTGCGGCATTTCAGGGAAGGTGCCACGGCCCACGGTGCTTTCAGTGTTCACAGTGCTGCAACCAAGGTAAGGTAAAGTAGGTGGGTAGGAAAAGTCAGGTACGGGTACCCTATGGTAAGTGGACCTAAGGTATCTAACGATGGTAGAAGGCAGCGGGTAGCGTCTTAGCGTGCAGAGAGTACCTAATGTCCTATAGGCCCTCGGATAAGAAGCAACTTTCCATCGACGACCTCTACCTTACTGAAAATACTAGATGGGGACGCACCAACATCATACGATCTTAGTTACTCAATGGACCTTATTAGATCCTACCTTGAGAGCCGGAATTCGTAAAGAAAACTCTCTACGGGTACTCTGATCAACTCGTGAATTGGCTGGGTACGGTGAGTGCGGGCAAGCAAACAGGAATCTCTCTTGTCTGTATTGACGATCTCAAAATGGTTGCCTCAACTGGCAAGGATATTGTTCAAAACCTAGGTACCCCACTTGATCTTGACAACTTGTAGAACCTGCCCGTGATTACGGACCTCAGTGGTAAACAAAGCTTAGGTCGCCTCATGGAAGGCTTGTGTCCTGGATGCCGCAATCTGGAAGTTTGTGTCATGCATGTGGCGTTGAAGATCGAGTGCTGCTGCTGCTTGGGGGCACTGCGTGTAAATGGACTACGTCAGCTTCTTTGGTACTTCAGCATAGATCAAGCTGTGTGTGACACTCAGAGCACATGGCGAGCTGGGTCAGAAGAAGCGACGTGAGCCATGCTGAGGTTGTCCTCTCTGAACACCGCGGCGTGGGCACACGTGATGCTTGAGGTGAAACGCGACACTTCCGGCTACCGACGGCGGGATCCCGTCCTGGGACCTCACCTACTGCAGTCAACTGCTGACCTCTTCACATCCTGTCAACCTTCGAGGCAAACGAGGGAGACGCCGATGTGACGAACGTGGTTGGTGCATGCCCGGCGGTGGTGTGGCTCAGCGGGTTTAGCACATCCGGGAACGTGGAGCATCCTCCCCCTTCGACTTTGATGTGTCCGGGCAGGGAATGGGTAGCCATGGAAGTAATGGAAGCAAAGGCATTGATCAATTTTTGTACTTTCCTTGCCAGCGTGTCGTCTATTTATCTGCATTCTTGCCAAAGTACCTCTTTGACCTTCTTGCATATTATGGACGTTCCAGTTACTTGACAACCCCACCAGTTGATGATCTGGCGGCAGGGAGATGCTGAATTGCCGGTTTCTAAAAACACCATGAATGGCTTTCTGATTTTAACCGTACCTTTAATGATAAACTCGCCCCCTTTCATTCCGAGGAAAAAACATCTTGTAACTCCTGCTTTTGATACCTCTGCCTCTTGCTCATCCGCTCAATCGTGCAAAACGTCCAGTAGTCTCTCATACGTCTCAAACGTTATCAGAGCTCTTAGGTTCATCATTAACTTGCACCACGCGCTAAAGTACCTTGACAGTCGAGGTACTTCCTGTACCTTAACTGGATACTCCCAATCTTCCAGCACCCAGGACCCGACAAGCCCCCTTTGCCGCTGCTTTGGGACGGGATACAACCCCCAACGGCACCCTTACCTTACCTTACCTTACCTTCCATACCTTACAGCACCCCACTGTACCTTAGGTAGGTACCTGACACGCCCAGATACCTCACCTTAGGCACGCCCGACTTCTCTTTTCCCAGTGGCTGTTCGCTCTCTGGGTACCTATAGTGCCTACTTTCCTCCGGGCAAGCGAATCTCTGTGGCCTAGAGCTGCCCGGGTGCCGACACCACCACCTCACCTCAATCTTTGCTGCCTCACCCACCACCCTATGCTGCCTTGACCTGCACTGTCCACCACCTCTCTCAGTTTGGTTCAGTTCCAGACCCTTACACATTGCCTCGCCTCAACTCAACTGCTTTATCTCTCGGGGCCGCGCACCACCTCCATCGAACCGCAGCATCCTCGCTTCGCAAAACACCAACGAACCTACACCTCCCTAGACACTCGTCCATCGTATTTGCAACACAATCCGACATCATGGCCAACGATGAATATGACGTGAGTCTCTCCATCTCCAATCTCCCATACCCCTTGGCCCTACTGCGGCCCCTCTCCCTCTTCCACTGCTCTCAAGTCTCCCCCTCCTTGCGCTAACTTGAAGCCTCGACAGTTCCTCTTCAAAGGTGCGCCAACGACCGATCCGACCTTGCGACGTTATCGCATAATAGCCAAAGGGTTTCTGTGAGGACCAGCTGACATTTTTATCTTCTAGTGGTGTTGATCGGAGACTCGGGCGTCGGAAAGTCCAACCTTCTCAGTCGATTCACCCGCAATGAGTTCAACCTGGACTCCAAGTCGACAATTGGTGTCGAGTTTGCCACTAGATCCATTCAAGTCGACTCTAAGACGATCAAGGCACAGATTTGGGATACCGCCGGCCAGGAACGCTACCGCGCCATCACTTCAGCCTACTACCGAGGAGCTGTCGGTGCCCTCCTCGTCTACGACATCAGCAAACACCAGACATACGAGAACGTCACCCGGTGGTTGAAGGAACTGCGAGATCACGCTGATGCCAACATCGTCATCATGCTTGTCGGAAACAAGAGCGATTTGCGCCACCTGCGAGCGGTGCCTACAGAGGAGGCAAAGGCTTTCGCCAGTACGTTGCGGTGAAGCGTCAGGGGGGAGCGCCGTAGACCCTGAGTTGGCTAACCGTTGCTCTAGGCGAGAACCACCTTTCATTCATTGAGACGTCTGCCCTCGATGCCAGCAACGTCGAGCTTGCATTCCAGAACATCTTGACCGGTGCGTCTACTCCCCTATTTTGCAACTCGCCTACGCAATACCGGGTGTCTCGTGATATTCAAGTGCTAACGTGACCCGCCTTGCCGCAGAGATCTACCGCATCGTATCTAGCAAGGCCCTCGACTCGGGCGACGGACCCCAAGCCTCGATCGGAGCCGGTGCCGGCATTTCGCTCAGCACGCCTGCGGACAACAGTGCAGAGAAGAGCGGCAAGTGCTGTTAAGCGAATCCCCTTCTGCGAAACTGTTTCACGGCCTTTTGGGAGGGCTGCTACGGTCGATATCATGGCATGTCACACACATGCCCCGGAATCTGTACGCCACTTGGCCAAGGAGGGGCTGCTGCATCGAGGAATGACTAGGAATCCAATGAGTCTTTTTTATGATTTCTGAGGGGACGGAGTATAGTCTCGGCCTTTCTTTTGTTCTCCTTTATACGGCTCAGTGCGGCTTGTCTGGGATTTGACGTTTCTGACGATCGCTCTGACATGCTTACGTAGTTGAATGAATCCATCTTAATGCCTTGAGAGAAGGTCTTCTATGGTGATTTAATGACGTGAGAAGTATTTTTTGTTTTATTTTTTGGCTTCTCCATCCAAACGACCTGTCCTCGCCATTTACATACACATCGTAGCCAAGATATCCCTTGGCGAGGATGTCCGTGGTGTGCGATGGTACCTCGAATAAACGGGTCGCATCTTTGGCCGCCTTCAGCCTGAACAGGAAGTGTTCGTGAGTTCTGACGTACCCTTTCTGGTGCACCAATACAGTAAAGTAAATTGCTAGGTGTTTTGCGGTCATGACAGGTGTTCCTCTGAGTCCAAAGGGGCTTCTGCCCCTGGCCCAGCTCATTATCTTAGTGGTCAAACCAGCCATGCCTTTACATTGAAGTACCGCATTCCCAAATTTCGGGGTCTTTCTCAAGCCATGTCCTGGCATCACACTGGTCAGGATGTCTTGAAGCGCTCCAGCGAGGTGAAATTGAGGTGGGCATGCAAGCTTGCTGCGATCCACAAAGTTTCTTTCCCCCCAGCCCGCGCTAGGTAAGTCGTAGGTCCTACGGGTGTCCATCCCCTCACGCCTGGCCCTGCCCCTCGAGTCCCCCTCGCTCTTTAGTTGGGTTAGCCTGCGCTTGAGATCCTGTCCCCCCCTTCTGTGGCATACTCTGATACGGTCTGGGCGACAGGGCAGCAGAGGCAATGAATGTGCGCAAGTCAGGTACGTACCTCCCTTACTCATTGAAAAGGTTCGAGGTGCACTGGCACCACAGGGAACCTCTCTCAAGTGGGTGTGTGCCCCGCTATACCGGGTCACCGCCTGGCCGATAAGCTCTCTTATCGGGCGTCCCGTCCGTAGCGGGAAGAAAAAAATTTGGGCTGGTCGCAAACCGTCGGCTTCTATTTCCTGCAGGTGGGCTGCGATATCTTCTTCGCGTCAAACATTCACCTTCGACGTCGCCAACACACCCCACACCACTTCTATAACCCGACAAGATGGCTTCCGTGTACAAGTCATTGTCCAAGAAGGCCGACAAGCCTGAGGCGCCGACCAATGGCGTCAAGAAGGTG